CAAAAAAAGACAGTGTCTGCTCTCATAGAGCTCACACTCTAGTGGAAATGGATAACAAAGGAATAAGTACAAACTAATAAATATATACTATTTTATGTGATGATGAGATCTTTTTTAAAGTAGAGAAAGTGAGGGGGATTGGGTGATCATCAAGGGGCTCACAGATTGGTGACATTTGTTTTGTTTTTTGTTTTCTGAGACAGGGTTTTATTCTGTCACCTAGGTTGGAGTGCAGTGGCACCATCTTGGCTCACTGTAACCTCGAACTTCTGGGTTCAAGCGATCTTCCTGCCTCAGCTTCCTGAGTAGCTGGGACTACAGGCCTGGGTAATTTTTAAAAATTTTTTCTATTTTCTATAGAGACAGGCTGTATTGCCCAGGTTAGTTTCAAACTTCTGAGCTCCAGCGATCCTACTGCCTTGGCCTCCCAAAGTGGCCGAATTACAGGTATGAGCCACTGCACCCAGCCAGATTGGGAACATCTGAATAGAGGCTACTTTATGAAAATAAAAGGACAAATTGCTAAATGAATATCCAGTCAGGAGGGATTACAGCTAACCTTCCATATCTGTGAGTTCCTCATTTAGAGAGGCAGTGTCTATGGACCCAACCAACTACAGAAAATATTTGGGAAAAAACAATAAATATACCAATAAACAATAAAAATAACATAGATTAAAAAACAGAACAGGCTTACACCTGAAATTCCAGAACTTTGGGAGGCTGAGGTGGGTGGATCACTTGAGGTCACAAGTTTGACATCAGACTGGCCAACATGGCAAAGCCCCATCTCTACTAAAAATACAAAAATTAGCTGGGCATGTTGATGCACGCCTATAGTCCCAGCTACTTGTGAGGCTAAGGCAAGAGAATTGCTTTAACCCAGGAGGCAGAGGTTGCAGTGACCTGAGATCTTGCTATTGCACTCCAGCCTGGGCGACAGAGTGAGACTCTGTCTCAAAATAAATAAATAAATAGATAAATAAAATAAAATAAAACAATACAGTAAATCAAGTACAGTGGCATGCATCTGTATTCCCAGCTACTCAGGAGGTTGAGCCAGGAGGACTGCCTGAGCCCAGGAGTTCGAGTCCAGTCTGAGCAATATAGCAAGACCTTGTCTTTAAAAAAGGAAAAAGAAACGAAAATTAAATAAATTTTGAAATTAAAAAAAATCTGGATTACACCTGTAATCCCAGCACTTTGGGAGGCTGAGGTGGGGGGATCACCTGAGGTCAGAAGTTTGAGACCAGCCTGACCAATATGGTGAAACCCTATCTTAAAAAATAATAATAATAAAATAAAACAAACCAATACACTATAACAACTATTTAGCTACATAGGAGGCTAAGGTGGGAGGATGACTTGAGCTCAGGAGTCTGAGACCAGCCTGGGCAAAATGCGGAGACTCAGAGTTTAAGAAAATAAAATAAAATAATTAATTAAATTTAAAAAAGAAAAACAAGGGCGGGCACAGTGGCTCATGCCTGTAATTCCAGCACTTTGGAAGGTCGAGGCAAGTGGATCACCTAAGGTCAGGAGTTTGAGGCCAGCCTGGCCAACATGGTAAAACCTCGTCTCTACTAAAAATACAGAAATTAGCCAGGTGTGGTGACGGGCGCCTGTAATCCCAGCTACTGGGGAGGTTGAGGCAGGAGAATTGAACCTGAGAAGTGGAGGTTGCAGTGAGCTGAAACTGTGCCACTATACTCCAGCCTGGGCAACACAGTGAGACTCCCTCTCAAAAAAGAAAGTAAAAAGAAAAACAATTATTTACATTGTATCAGGTACTATAAGTAATCCATAGATGTCCCGTCTCTACTAAAAATACAAAATTAGCTGGCATGGTGGCACATACCTGTAATCCCAGCTACTCAGGATGCTGAGGCAGGAGAATTGCTTGAACCCGGGAGGCAGAGGTTGCGGTAAGTCGAGATTGCACCATTGCACTCCAGCCTGGACCACAAGAGCAAACCTCTGTCTCAAAAAAATAAAAAATAAAATAAAATAAATAAAGTATACGGGAGGGTATGCACAGGTCATATGCAAATAGTACACAATTTATGTAAGTGACTTTAGTGTCCACGTGTTTTAGTAACCAGGAATTGCCTGCCACCAATCCCCAGCAGATACTGAGCAAGGGACAACTATATTTCCAATTAGGGAGATAAGTCAAGATTTTACAAAAGTGATAGTATTTGAGTTGGCCCTTCTAGGAATTTTGAGTGAAGATTCATTGAAAGGGCCAATACAGATAAAAGGAAGAGGGTGAACTGAAGCTGGAAAGTGCATCTTATGTTCAGGAGATGACCAGCAATTTCTTTTAATAGAGACAAATTGGGTCCTAAAATGGCAGTCTTTGAATGCCATATTGCTATTTGAACTTTATTCTCTAGTTTGTGGGGAATTATCAAAGGCTTATAAGCAGGAATGTGACATATCCAGAATTGTGCTTAAAAAAAAAATCACCTTTTTTTTTTTTTTTTTTTTTTTTGTTGGAGAGTCTTACTCTGTCATCCAGGCTGGAGTGCAACGATGCCATCTCAGCTCACTGCAACCTCTGCTTTCCAGGTTCAAGCAATTCTCCTGCCTCAGCCTCCCAAGTAGCTGGGATTACAGGCATGTGCCACCACGCCTGGCTAATTTTTATTTTTTTTGAGACTGAGTTTCACTCTTGTTGCCCAGGCTGGAGTGCAATGGTGTGATCTCAGCTCACTGCAACCTCCACCGCCCAGGTTCAAGTGATTCTCCTGCCTCAGCCCCCCAAGTACCTGGGATTACAGGCATGTGCCACCACACCCAGCTAATTTTGTATTTTTAGTAGAGAAGGGGTTTCTCCATGCTGGTCAGGCTGGTCTCAAACTCCGGATCTCAGGTGATCTGCCCGCCTCATCCTCTCAAGGTGCTGGGATTATAGGCGTGAGCCACCACGTCTGGCCTGAAATATATTTCTTAATAAGACCTGAAAGTCAAAATGACTCCTTGATCCATGAGCGGCAGAGTGTCTGTGGTGTTTGCAAGCATGAAAGCAACATTCACCTGTTTGCACATCTCCACCAGAGCTCTTGGGTGACCAGGTGCATTGTGAGTGAGAGTAGTATTTTGAAAGAAATTATTTTTTTCCTTAGCAGTAGGGCTTAAAATAAAACAGTGGACTTAAACTATTCAGTTAACCATGCCACAAACATATATGCTGTCATCGAGGTTTTGTTGTTCCATTTATAGAGCACAGGCAGACTTTAGCATAATTCTTAAGGGCTCTAGGATTTTAGGGAGGTAAATGAGCACTGGCTTCAACTCAGAGTCACCAGCTGCATTAGCCCCTAAGATGAGAGTCAGTTTGTTCTTAGAAGCTGTGAAGCCAGGCGTTGACTTCTCTCTAGCTATGAAAGTATTAGCATCTTCTTCCAATAAAAGGCTGTTTCATATACATTGAAAGTCTGTTGTTCAGTGTAGCCACCTTAATCAATTACCTTAGTTAGGTCTTCTGAATAACGTGCTGCAGCATCTACAACAGCACTTGCTGCTTCAGCTTTCACTTTTAAGTTATGGAAATAGCTCCTTACCTTAAACCTCGCTAGCTTCCACCTTCTTTTCTGCAGCTGCCTCACCTGTCTCAGCCTTCATTTTATTGAAGAGTCAGGGCTCCACATTAGGCTTTGACTTGAGGGAATGTGGCTGGTTTGTCCTTCTATCCAGATTACTCAAACTTTCTCTGTATCAGCAATGTCTGTTTCACTTTCTTATCATTTGTGTGTATAATGGAGTAGCACTTTTAATTTCCTTCAAAAACTTTTCCTTTGCATTCACAACTTAGCTGTTTGGTGCAAGAAGACTGGCTTTTATCCTGTCTCAGCTTTCAACATGTCTTCTTCACTGAGCTTAATCATTTTCAGCTTTTTATTTAAAGTAAGAGATGTGTGACTCTTCCTTCCCCTTGAACCCCACTGTAGGGTTGCTAATTGGTCTAATTTCAATATTGTTGTATCACAGGAATAAGGACACAGGAAGAGAAGGAGAAAAGCAGGAAGACTGCCGGTCTGTGGAGCAGTCAAAACATCCACAACATTTATGAATTAAGTTTGCCATCTTATATGGGCATGGTTCATGGTGCTCCTAAACAATTACAATAGTAATAAAAAGATAACAGATCAGCATAACATATACAATAATTATGAAAAAGTTTGAAACAGTGTGAAAATTACCCAAATGTGGCACAGAGACACATAGTAAGCCTGTGCTGTAGGAAAAATGGCGCAGACAGCTTTGGTTCTATGCAATGGCCACAAACCTTCCATTTGTAAAAACAGTTATCTGTGAAGCGCAATAAAGGAAAGCGAGGCTGTAGCAGATGCACGGTTCATTTAGACATCCTTAGGACTCAAACTAATACAGGGCCTTTTCCATGCCAGTAGCTGCAATTCTGAGACGAAAGTGCCTCTTCCCCGACCTTTACACCTTGCTTTCTGGAAAGATGAGACCATAATGGATTTTGAACTTGCTTTGATGATTAAAGCCCATTGTCGTACATTTCTCCGGAAAAGGAAGCACTGTCTGCTATGGAGCAAACAGTAGAATTTGAATATATAATCCCTTGACCGTAGAAACTGAACCTCAGATCCTATCCTGGCTCTAGACCACCAGGTCATGGAAGAAGAAACTTTTCTTTGAATCTTTATCTTCTTGACAAGCTTGTAAATTACAACATATATGCACCATGGACACCTGAGCTCAAAGCAGTTGAGCAATCTTAAGTGGGGGTGACCAGAAGTGGTGCCTTCTGACCCCAAGCATCACACTACCCGTACCTGAAGGAGCGAGTTGCAGCCCTGCTGCATCGCCACGCGCGGAAGAGCAAGCAGAAGGAAAACTACATTTCCCAGCGACCACTGCGCGGCGAGGAACGCCGCGAGGAGGGGCGAGATGGGGAGGGGGGGGGTTGGCCTCTGTGTGAAGGCCCTTCCCATTGGTGCGTAGTCTAAAGGGCCGTGTAAGCTGCTGCGCGATTGGACAGACTCAGGGACGTTCAGTGGCGCCGCGACGCTCCTTGGTTTGACTTTTATTTTTCAGTTGAGTTCCCTGACTCGGAGACTTGAGTGTGTCCTGAGTATAGAGTTTCGGGTTTGGGGTGAAGGGGTTAGGGAAGAGGGCTTGGGAAGAAAATCTGGTGAGGGAGAAATAACTGCGGAAGCAGTACGGAGGAGACGGACGTGGCCCTGGAATCTGGGGTCTGTGGAGGGGCTGCGGACCGGGAGAGGAAAGTTCGAATCTGCAAAGGGAGAGACCTCGCCTGTGCTGGAGGGTTGGGACCTGGAGCAGTGAGAGAGTCGAGAATGGAATGAATTGGAAAAAGGAGTACAAGATTCGGACGTCCTGAAGGTGGGTTCCTTTATACGTTCACCCCACGCTGGTCCAAGCTTCAATTTCCTATTGTAAAATAAGGGATAATAAAAATACTTAACAGTTGTGGGAATAAATCAAATAAATCCACGGGTTGTCACATGGCGAAAAGAAAAAAATTCAAAGTGCTACACAAATGTTAATTGTTAATAGACAAGCTGTAAGAGTGTACCTAAGCAAGGATATCAGAGATAGGTGCATAGAAGCTAGCTGAAACCCGTTAATTTACCTATAAACAAGGCTATTGTTTTGAGAGAGGAAATGAAGCCTAACACGGTTTCTATCTGCAGGGAACGCACGCCATCCTGGGAGAAACGATAGCAATAAAGAACTCTAATATGTTTAATTGTAGAGAATTTCAAAGGCAGTTCTTTTGCAGGTAGATCATTTTTGCTAAATCGTTTTGAGTGGAGAGACTCAGGAAAGAGATAAAAGAGGTGGTATTTAAGATGAGTTTTCGTGTACAGACTAAATTTTGTTAGCGGAAATTATGAGGGCTGTTGAGGGAGCTTTGTTCCAGCTAGAGGGAAGCTCATAAACAAAGGTATAGAGGCGGGGAAGTTATCTGGAAACAGAAAGATAGGTTTGACCCTTATGTAGAAAGGGTCACGAATTTTAGGCTAACAAGTTTGATTTAATGCTTTAGGCTATGAGGTGCTACTGATGAATTTTATTAAAGAAAATGGTCCAGGAGAGGCAAGGAGTAGGTTGAACCATTAGTTAAGCTGTTGTAGTGGTGTGGGTAGGAAGTATTGCGATTCTGAATTAACATGGTCTTTGTGCAGATAAAATAGGTAAGATGACAGGAGGTTCAGGAGAATGAGTAATCAAATGACGAATTTAAGTTGCCAACTCCAGGTTGCTTGGAAACGCTGAATTAGTAACTAAAATAGGAAAGTAGAAGGGGCACATTTGGATGAAAAAGATGATGTGTTAGGTTTAGGAAATGTTAGCTTTGAGGTGCTAAAAAAAATGTCTGAGTGATTTCCTTTTTAAGCTAAATATTTCAAGTGCTAGTGAGACTATAGGTGAAAATGTCCGGTATGTTTTTGTTAATTCAAATTAAGAGCTTGAAAAAGATGTCATTTATTTATTCAACATGTAATTGTTGCTTGCTCTAGTGCTTTAGATGATAGAATTAATAGGCTGGCAAGGTGGCTCATGCCTGTAATCCCAGCACTTTGGGAGGCTGAGGTTGGCAGATTATGAGGTCAGGAGTTCGAGATCAGTTTGGCCAACATGGTGAAACCCCGTCTCTACTAAAAAAAAAATACAAAATTAGCTGGGCATAGTAACATGTGCTTGTAGTCCCAGCTACTTGGGAGACGGAGGCAGAAATTGCTTGAACCCTGGAGGGGGAGGTTGCAGTGAGCCCAGGTCATGCCATTGCACTCCAGCCTGGGCGACAGAGTGAGACTCTGTCTCAAAAGAAAAAAAAAGTGATAGAGTTAGTCATAAAAACAGGAGAAATAATGATGTTCCCAAATAAATGCTTAGAGGAAATGGTAAAGTTGAAGACAGAACCTTTTGAACCAAGAGAGTAAAATTGTCAATAATAATAATAGTCTGCCTTTATTGAGTGCTTATTTATGTGTCAAACACTGTCACTTGGCTCTGTACTCATTAGGTCATTTAATACTGACACCAACTTATGGCACAGAAGTAACTGAAATTTAGAGAGTATAACTTGCCGGAGGTACACCACTAATAAGAGGCGGGGCTCTGACTCAATCCCTAGTCTGATTTCAGAGCCCACTGTCTCAACGACAAAGCAATATTTATTATTATTATTATTTTCAGAAAAGTCTCACTCTGTTGCCCAGGCTGGAGACCAGTGGGGCAATTTCAGCCCAGTGCAGCCTCTGCCTCCCAAGTTCAAGCAGTCCTCCTGCCTCAGACTCCTGAATAGCTGGGGCTACAGGCACATGCCACACCTAGCTAATTCTGTAATTTTTGTAGAGACAGGGTTTCACCATGTTGCCCAGGCTGCTCTTGAACTCCTGACCCCTAGTGATCCACTCACATTGGCCTCCCAAAGTGCTGAGATTACAGGCATAAGCCACCGTACCCAGCTTATTTTAATTTTTTTTGAGACAGGAACTTGCTCTATTGTCCAGGCTAGACTGCAGTGGCACAATTACTGCTCACTGCAGCCTTGAACCCCCCAAGCTGAAGTGATCCTAACACCAAGCAGCTGGGGCTACAGACGTGCCACAGTGCCCTGCTAATTTTTTAATTTTTTGTAGAGATGGGTTCTTGCCATGTTGCCCAGGCTTAACTCCTGGGCTAAAGCAGTCTGCTGGCCTTGGCCTCCCAAAGTGCTGGGATTACAAACGTGAGCCACCATGCCCAGCCAAAGCAATATATTTTTAAAGGGTAGTTGGCGCTACCAGGCACAGTGACTTGCGCCTGTAATCCCAACACTTTGGGAGGCAGAGGCATGTTAGACCATCTGATGTCAGGAGTTCCAGACCCGCCTGGCCAACATACCGAAACCCTGTCTTTACTAAAAGTACAAAAAATTAGCCAGCTGTGGTGGCAGGCACCTGTAATCCCAGCTGAGTCAGGAGAATCACTTGAACCTGGGAGGTGGAGGTGGCAGTGAGCCAAGATCATGCCACCGAACTCTGGTCTGGGTGACAGAGTAAGACTCCATCTCAATAAATAAATAAACTAATTAATAAATTAATAAAGGGTAGTTGGCACTATTGAATTAAGCATACAAGTGAAGGAGTAACTGTTGGATGAAGCAGGATAGAAACAGAAAAGAGCAATGAATTTATTAATTTGGATGTCTGCTGACCAGTAAGAATTCGGTTAGATGTCATAGTAGAAGCCTGAGGCCTGGCTCAGTGGCTCCTGCCTGTAATCTCAGCATTTTGGAAGGCCAAGGCAGGAGGATTGTTTGAGTCCAGGAGTTGAAGGCCAGCCTAGGCAACATAGCAAGGCCCCGTCTTGCAGCCAGAGAGGTGAGTGTAGACAGCGTTATTTGTGGACGTGTGCAATAGTGAGGACAGTCACTGTGAAGTAGAAGAGGGCTGCAGGTTGTTAGAAGACTCTTTTAAAGTTTCAAATTACTCTTTCTTTTTTTTTGAGACAGAGTCTCGCTGTCGCCCAGGCCGGAGTGCAGTGGTGCGATCTTGGCTCACTGCAACCTCCGCTTCCTGGGTTCTTGCAGTTCTCCTGCCTCTGCCTCCTGAGTAGCTGGGACTACAGGTGCACACCACCACGCCTGGCTAATTTTTTTGTATTTTAGTAGAGTCAGGGTTTCACTGTGTTGCCCAGGCTGGTCTCGAACTCCTCAACTCAGGCAATCTGCCCACCTCGGCCTCCCAAAGTGCCGAGATTACAGGCGTGAGCCACCGCATCTGGCCTCAAATTACTTTTAAATGGTTTTGGAACAGTGAAATTTAGCTTTAAGTTGTCATCCATATCCATACAATGGATACAATTCATCTGCAAAAAGAGATAAGTACTGATACATGGTGCAACATAGTTGAACCTTGAAAACATTATGCTAAGTGAAAGAAGCCAGTCACAAAAGACCACATACTAAATGATTCCATTTATAGGCAAGTCCAGAATAGGGACATCTGTAGAGACAGTAGATCAGTGGTTGCTTAGGACTGGGAGACTGGGGTGATAGCTGAAGGACACAGGGTTTTTTCTTGAAGTGTTGAAACTTCTGAAATGGACTCTGGTGATAGGTGCACGTATCTGTGAATATGCTAAAAATCATTGAATTGTATACTTTGAATGAATTTAATGGTATATACAAATTAAATTTCCATAAAGCTATTTTTAAAAAATGTTACCCATAATCCTACCATGCCAATCCAATAATTTTTCTTTTCTAGGGTATTTTGACAAGAGGCAAATTGGCCCAATCTGGAGAAGTATTTTGGAAGGAGGTGGGTTTGGAGGAGGAGAGCAATCATTTTAAAGGAGAGAATTAAAAGAATAAAGATGGCATATTTGAAGGGTTGGCTGTAGAAGAAAGCAAGTGGGATGAGAGAACCAGAAACAGATTTTTTAGCTGGATTGAGTAGACTGGCCAGCAGAAGAAAAGGCTGTTTAATAGTCTTTCAGATTCATATTGAGAATTAGTGTGTGTGCGTGTCCAGTAAATATTTATTAAGTACTTATTATGAGCCAGGCACTATTTAAGTTACTAGGGATACAGCAGTAAACATAATAGATAAAAACCCCTGCCCTTAGTGAGTTTGCATATTACAGTGTGGAGAGACAGACATTCAATATTAGATAGATGGTTCTAAGTGTTTGGCTTTTTTTCTTCTCTCTGTCACCCAAGCTGGACTGCAATGGCATGCTCATGGCTCACTGCAGCCTTGGCCTCCCAGTGCAGGCGATCCTCCTACCACAGCCTCCCGTTTAACTGGGACTACAGGCACATCCCACCACATCTGGCTAATTTTCTGTAGAGACGGGGTTTGGCCATGTTGCCCGGACTGTTCTCAAACTCCTGGACTCAAGCAGTCTATCTGCCTTGGCCTCCCAAAGTTCTGCGATTACGGGAGTGAGCCACCACCCAGCCAAGGTTGTACGTGTCATGGAGAAAAGTAAAGCAGAGAAGATGGATGAGGGTGGTGGAGTGGTCAGGAAAGACTTCATCAAGAAAGTGACATTTTAGCTCTGAAGGAGGAGGAGGGAGTAAGCCACGTAGATAAATGAGGAAAGACCATCATAGCAAAGAGAACTACATGGGTATAGGGACTCTGAAGTAGAAGTGTGCCTGTGTTTGAAGAACAGCAGAGAGGCCAGTGTTTGTGCAGCAGTGAATGAGAAGAGTAGTAGGTGAGGTCACAGAAGTCATGGGGTTGGCCAGGTCATATATGACCCTGTAGCCAATTTTAAAGACCTTGACTTTCTGAGTAAGATGAAAGTCATTGGAGGCTTTTGGGCAGGGGAGTTTTGTGTTTTGATATATATTAATGTGTTGAGAATATACTGTAAGGGATGAGGTTGAAAGTGGAACGGGGGCAAAGTGTGGTGACTCACGCCTGTAATCCCAGCACTTTGGGAGACTGAGGTGGGTGAATTACCTGAGGTCAGGAGTTCAAGACCAGCCTAATCAACATGGTGAAACCCCATCTCTACTAAAAGTACAAAAGTTACTGGGGCTTGGTGGCCTGTGCCTGTAATCCCAGCTACTCCAGAGGGAGGCTGAAGCAGGAGAATTACTTGAACCCTAGCGGGGTGAAGGTGGCAGTGAACCAAGATTGCACCATTGGACTCCAACGTGGGTGACAGAGAAAGACCCTGTATATTTAAAAAAAAAAAAAAAAAAAAGCAAAAAACGGCTGAACCAGGGCAATGAGGGCATAGGTGTTAAGTAGTTGTCAGATTCTAGATGTTTTGATGTGCTGGCTAGTAGGATTTGCTAATGGGTGTGTGTGGCATGTAAGACAAAGAGGAGGAGTAAAATTTCTCCAACCACATTTGTTTGTTTGTCATAAACAACTGGCAGCATAGAATTAGCATTTACTGGAATGTAGAATTCTAAGAGAAGAGCAAGTTTTGGTGGTGGGAGGTAGGTATCAGGAGCTCAGTTTTACACTTGGCAAGCTTGGGAAACCTGCTAGACATCCACGTGGAGAGATTGAGTAGGTAGTTAGGTGTGTGAGTCTAGAGCAGAGGGCAGAGTAAGGACTAAGGCATCAGTTTGAAAACCATTAATGTGTATATGCTATTTAAAGCTGTGAGACTTCAGGAGATCACCAACGCAATGAGTAATGACCAGTAAGGAAAGCGGACAACCAGGAAGAGGTCCCCTGGAAGCCAAACAAAGAAAACTTTAAAGGAATCAGGGAGAGAGGCACTGTGGGGTTCTGAGCAGGAAAATGGTATGTGGAAGTAACAGTGGCGATGATCTCTTGCTACTTTTTCACAAAATTCTTTCCCAAAGGATTGAAGATTTTAAGCAGATTATACCAGGTAGAAGAACATAGCAGAACATCATCTGACTTGCTCAGAGTCAGAAGGGATTGACAGAGCATGCTTGATAAGAAAGCTTTCACCGAAGCAATAAAAAATCAGCCTCTCTTCCTCCCCCCACGCCCCCCCCCCCGCCGTCAATCATGTAACATGGTATGATATTCCCTTTCCAGCCATGAGGTTTATATTCCTGATAATTTATTTATTTATTTATTTTACTTCAGGTGCATACTATAGCTGGCATTTCTCCCCACGTTATCCCTCCCCAGGAAAATTTCTATAATAAGGTTGTTGCAAGTACGGGAGCTCAAGATCTTGCATTATGAATTGAGATGGAGATTGTGAAGAGACATTTAAATTTTATAAGTAATTTTTTTTCTTTTGCTCAAGATGCTAGAGAAAGCATGTGAAATAAAGATAGCATCAATGGCTTTGTATTAGTTTTAAATTCGATATAGTGGGTACTCTCTCTACCTTAATTTCCATTTACTACTTCCTTCTTTGGAGAGGGGAGTGGAGCAGGGGAAGTCAATATGTTGCTGAGGCTGGCCTCGAACCCCTGGGCTCAAATGATCTTCCCTCAGCCTTCTGAGTAGCAGGGACTATAGGTGTGGACCACTGCACCTGACTGTATGTACTGTTTATTGCTTATTAGAGACTTCTCTGCATCTCCTTCTCCTATCCTGTAACTTCGGGGAAAAGATTGTAGATTTGTTTTTCATTGTTGCAGATAACAGGGAGACCTTTTTTCCTTTGTTTGCTTATCCATTTAAATATTTAATACCATTCTGGTTTTTATTTGAAAATAATTATGAGGAGTACCTTTTGAAAATTCAAAAGGCATGAATTTCAGGATTTGGAGATACTTTAAAGAAAACTACATTTTAAAACATTAAGTTCTTTCCAAGAGGAAAATATGATGATGTTGAAGAGGGAACTAGTCTATACGTCCTGTACTGTTTTTATTTTTCTGTTCTTGGCCCCTCATTATGAATTTTTTGTGTATTTGATAGGTGTGAAAAAGACAGCATGAACTTTACCCCAACACACACCCCTGTCTGCAGAAAGTAAGACATTTGCTTCTTTTTTTTTTTTTTTGAGACAGAGTTTCGCTCTTGTTACCCAGGCTGGAGTGCAATGGCGCGATCTCGGCTCACCACAACCTCCGCCCCCTGGGTTCAGGCAATTCTCCTGCCTCAGCCTCCTGAGTAGCTGGGATTACAGGCACGCGCCACTGTGCCCAGCCAATTTTTTTTGTAATTTTTAGTAGAGACGGGGTTTCACCATGCTGACCAGGATGGTCTCGATCTGTTGACCTCGTGATCCACCCGCCTCGGCCTCCCAAAGTGCTGGGATTACAGGCTTGAGCCACCGTGCCCGGCCAAGACATTTGCTTCTTATTTTCAACTTGTTAAAATAAGAAATCAAGACTTGTGTGGTCTTAGTCTTATAATAGGAACTGGAAAGGTATTGGAAATGTACTTCCTAAAGTTTTTAATTTTTATTTATTTTTTTATTGTTTGAGACAGAGTCTCACTCTGTTGCCCAGGTTGGAGTGCAGTGGTGCAATCATAGCTCATTGCAGCCTTGACCTCCTGGCTCAAGCAATCCTCCCGCCTCGGCTTCCTAAAGTGTTGGGATTACAGGCATAATCCACGGCTCCCAGCCTGAGACAACCCCTTTTAGAAAATATGAAATGTCGGCTGGGTGTGGTGGCTCACACCTATAATCCCTGTACTTTGGGAGGCCAAGATGGGTGGATCACTTGAGGTCAAGAGTTCAAGGCCGGGCACGGTGGCTCAAGCCTGTAATCCTAGCACTTTGGGAGCCCGAGGGGGGTGGATCACGAGGTCAAGAGATCGAGACCATCCTGGTCAACATGGTGAAACCCCGTCTCTACTAAAAATCCAAAAAATTAGCTGGGCACGGTGGCGCGTACCTGTAATCCCAGCTACTCAGGAGGCCGAGGCAGGAGAATTGCCTGAACCCAGGAGGCGGAGGTTGTGGTGAGCCGAGATCATGCGGAGGTTGTGGTGAGCCGAGATCGTGCCATTGCACTCCAGCCTGGGTAACAAGAGCGAAACTCCGTCTCAAAAAAAAAAAAAAAAAAGAGTTCAAGACCAGCCTGGCCAACGTGGTGAAACCCTACGTCTACTAAAAATATAAAAATTAGCCAGGCATGGTGGCAGGAACCTGTAATCCAAGCTACTTGGGAGGCTGAGGCAGGAGAATCACTTAAACCCAGGAGGTGAAAGTTGCAGTGAGCAACTTTCGTGCTACTGCACTCAGCCTGGGTGACAGAGCAAGACTTCATCTCAAAAAAAAAAAAAGGAAAGAAAAGAAAAGAAAGAAAATATGAACTGTTAAGTAGGCCAAGCACTGTGGCTCATGCCTGTAATCCTAGCACTTTGAGAGGCTGAGGCGGGCAGATCACAGGGTCAGGTGTTTGAGATTAGCCAACATGGTGAAACCCCACCTCTACCAAAAAAATAACAAAAATTAACCAGGCATGGTGGCGTGCACCTGTAATCCCAGCCATTCGGAAGGCTGAGGCAGGAGAATTGCTTAAACTCGGGAGGCAGAGGTTGCAGAGCTGAGATCACACCATTGCCACTCCAGCCTGGGCAACAGAGCAAGACTCCATCTCAAAAAAAAAAAAGTTAAATAAAATAGTATTTCTCTCACAAGTTTTTAATGATTGGGAAAATGTCTAAGGTTTTCTTCATACAAGTTGACAAATTTTAATATCTTCATGCTTATTTATTAGAAGCAAGCACATATATTAACTACAACTCAGAGCTTCTGGTATAGTTTCTTCACTTTGCTGTCTGTTTTGTTATGTTGTAAATTGTAGACAACCAAGCTGGATTTATTTTCACATAAGGGTTACTCTTCTTCTGTACTATTTGTTTTCTCACTTCCATTGTTTTAGCTCAAGTCTTGTTTGCTAGAAGCAAACAAACAAAAATTTCATGTCCACCCTTTTTTTTTTTGAGACGTAGTTTTGCTCTTGTTGCCCAGGCTGGAGTGCAGTGGCATGCTCTCAGCTCACTGCAACCTCCAATTCCCAGGTTCAGGCGATTCTCCTGCCTCAGCCTCCTGAGTAGCTGTGAATACAGGCGTGTGCTATCACGCCCGGCTAATTTTTGTATTTTTAGTAGAGATGGGGTTTCGCCATGTTAGTCAGGCTGGTCTTAAACTCCTGACCTCATGATCTGCCCATTTTGGCCTCCCAAAATGCTGGCATTACAAGCGTGAGCCACCATGCATGGCCTTTTTTTGTTTGTTTGTTTGAGATGGAGTTTCACTCTTGTTATCCAGGCTGGACTGTAATGGCGCAATCTTGGCTCACTGCAACCTCCATCTCCCAGGTTCACATGATTCTCCTGCCTCAGCCTCCCGAGTAGCTGGGATTATAGGCATGCACCACTAAGCCCTGCTAATTTGTATTTTTGGTAGAGATGGGGTTTCACCATGCTGGCCAGGCTAGTTTTGAGCTCCTGACCTCAGGTGATCCACCTGCCTCCACCTCCCAAAGTGCTAGGATTATAGGCATGAGCCATCATGTCTGGCCATACCCAGCCTTTGATCAGAGTCTTTTGCCACTTATAACATCTAGTTCTAGTCTGTGCAATTCAAATGTCTCAGATGTTAGAGATTAGCATCTGATGTGATTGTTCCCATTGCAGTATGTTTGTTTCTTTTTTTTCTTTTTGAGACAGGGTCTCCCTATTTTGCCCAGGCTGGAGGGCAGTAGTGCAGTCTCAGCCCACTGCAATCTCCACCTCCCATGTTCAAGCAATTCTCCTGCCTCAGCCTCCCAAGTAGCTGGAATTACAGGCATGTGCCACCACACCCAGCTAATTTTTGTATTTTTAGTAGAGACTGGGTTTCACTGTTTTGGCCAGGCTGGTCTTGAACTCCTGACCTCAAGCAATCTGCCTGCCTTGACTTCCCAAAGTGGTGGGATTACAGGCATGAGCCACTGTGCCCGGCCTGCAATGTGTCTTATAGTACTGCATTTTCTAATTGTTACTACATGGTCTCACTTAGTTTATATTCTTTTTTGTGTGTGTGACAGAGTCTTGTTCTGTCGCCAGGCTGAAGTGCCGTGGTGTGATCTTGGCTCACTGCAATCTCTGCTCCGGGGTTCAAGCAATTTTCCTGCCTCAGCCTCCAACAGGAATTACAGGCACATGCCACCATGCTCGGCTAGTTTTTGTATTTTTAGTAGAGACAGGGTTTCACCATGTTGACCAGGCTGGTCTCGAACTCTTGACGTCAGGATCCGTCCACCTCGGCCTCCCATAGTGTGAAGATTATAGGCGTGAGCCACCACACCCAGCCTATATTCTATTTTTTAAAATTATTTCTTTAGTTTCTAATGTATTTTACTTTTACTTTTTTAGAGACAGGGTCTTGCTGTGTTGCCCAGGGTGGACTGGAAGTCCTGGGCTCAAGCAGTTCTCCCACCTCAGCCCTCTGAGTAGTTGGGACTGCTCAGCTATTCAGCTGTGCCACCATTCCTGGTTCTAACATGTATTTTGAATTTAGCTTTAAACCAGTAGTACTTGGAAGATAATTAATAAAATTATTTACTATCCTGTAATATCAAACTTTCAACTTTTTTTTTTTTTTTAAATAGAGACAGGGTTTCACTGTATTTCTCAGGCTGGTCTTGAACTTCTGGGCTCAAGTGATTCTCCCATCTTGGCCTCCTAACGTGCTGAGATTACAGGCATGAGCCACTATGCCTGGCCAAACTTTCAAATTTATGAGCACCTTAATTATAAGCACTTTAGGAATACAGAACACCCTTTTATTTAGAAAGTTATAACTCATAAACTTTCACGGAGTATGATAAATATTTCCTTTCTAATTTCACATAGGCAAACAGTTGTCTCCAAACGTGGTGTTGCCATCATGATTCCACCAAGAGGAGGGGAATGGCAGATTCACTGGAGTCAACCCCCTTGCCTTCCCTAGAAGATCACCTGGCCAAACTCTGTCCTTCTAAGGACCTCCTGGAATATTATCAAAAGAAGATGGCTGAGTGTGAGGCAGCAAATGAGGACTTACTGAAGAAACTGGAACTCTACAAAGAAACTTGTGAAGTACAGGTAAAGAGACAACGCACACGTTTTTAGATCTCTGATGAAGTCTTCATTAATTAGAGATGCTATAGAAGTACCAGCTTGTATCATAAGCAGATGTTCTATAAAAATATTCCTATTTTATTCCCCAGCCCACCTTCCTGCCCTTCAGGCCCTCCTTGGATTGTAACCCCCAAAACTACTCTTCTTATAAAATCTTAAATTCTGATATCTCCACATTTCTTATACTTGTAGTTCTTTCATCTTCTAACCTGACTAGTCCTTAACTTCTTTGTTACCTTCGTAACTTCCTAACTTTTCAGTTTTCTAAGTGCTACCTACAGCTCTGACATCGTGGCCTTCAAACCTAAACCCCATGTTGCTTTACTTTGGTAGGTAACTGCACTGCCTGTAAATGACCCCTTGCTCAATTATTCTTTTGCTCCACCTGTATAGCAAAAACCTTGTCCTGTGCATCACAGGATGTTTAACAGCTTCCCTGGCCTCTACCCACTAGATACCAGTAGCACAACACCCCCAGCTGCGAGCATCAAGAATGTCTCCAGGCTGGGCATGGTGGCTCACGCCTTTAATCCCTGCACTGTGGGAGGCCAAGGCAGGTGGATCATGAGGTCAAGAGATCGAGACCATCTTGGCCAACATGGTGAAACCCCGTCTCTACTGAAACTACAAAAATTAGCCGGGTGTGGCAGCATGCACCTGTAGTCGCAGCTACTCGGGAGGCTGAGGTGGAAGGATCACTTGAACACAGGAGGCAGAGGTTGCTCCAGCCTGGCGACAGAGCAAGACTCTGTCTCAAAAAAAAAAAAAAAAAAAAACCCTGCTCCATCATTTTTCTCCACTTTCTGTTGTATTTTTAACTTCTTGCTTGACGTTAGCTTTTTCTTCTCAGTATATAAACATATTCAAGTTTTTTCCAACTTAAAAGAAAAATTAAAAACTCTTCCTTCATTGTGCTTCTCTCTCTAGGTACTCTTTTTATATAAATGGCTCATTCTTTTCCCAGTCGCACTTCCAGAATCATGTAACTTTCCCATTCACTGAAAGGGAAATTTCTCGACTGCAGTTTCATCTCTGTCCTTGCCACACCACTAAAACTGTGCCTTCTGTGGTCTCCAAGTACTTCTTTACCAAACTCATCTCTTTTTTTTTTGCCCTTTGCAGGGTTTGTCACTTTTGACCTCTCCTTTTCTAAAATTTTCTTCCTTTCTTGATTTCTGTGTCATTTTTCTTTCACGATTTCTATCTAACCTCTCTGGTCACCTCATCTTCGTGTCCATGAACAACTCTCCTTCCTTACTCTTAAATGTCAGAGTTCTTCCAGATTCGACTGTAAATGATCTTGTATATTACACTACTACATATGTGATGGTGACTGTTAAATCACTAACCCTGACTCACTTTTCTCCAGAGCTTCCTTTCTCTACCCCAGCTTCCGCACCCACACATGTACTGCCACCATTTCACCTCCCTTCATTCCTCATTCCTTAACTTTTTCTTTATTCTTTGTCTTGGTAAGTGGCATCATTGCCTCCGGTTCTGCCAAGCCCATTACACTGAAATCATTTGGCAAGTCTTATTGATTCTGCTTCCTAAATACTACTTAATCCATTCCCACACCTATATCACTCTTGCTGAGATGCTCATGCAGACTCTCGAGTTGCATTTAAACTGAGACAGTGTCTTCCTTGCCAGTACCTGCTCTGCCCTCTTACATCCCCAGTTGGCCTCACACTTTTCACTCTAGCAGCACTGAAATATTTGTAGTTGTCCAAATTTATTAGGCTTTTTTTTGGACATTTACTTGTCATTTTTATCATGTTATGTATGTATACAATGAACTACATTGTAGTTCATTCCATTTGGGCTCTTGAATAGCCTCAGGATGGGGGCTGGTTGCCAGATAACAGTGATGCAGCATCTCTAATATATTTACTGTGACTCGGGGTGAGCCACCATGCCTAGCCTAATTTTTTTATAGATTCTACAAAAAAAGTGTTTCCAACCTTGTAAGTTCCACTGTGGTCCTGTATGCTGTACCTTTCTCCAAATCGCTTGTTAATATTTACTTGTCATTTTTATCACCTTATGTCTGTATCTGTGGACTTCTGGATTTTTTGTTTTTTGAGTCAAGGTCTTGCTCTGTTGCCCAGGCAGGAGTACAGTGGTGTGGTCATAGCTCACTGCAGCCTCAAAGTCCTGGACTCAAGCAATCCGCCTGCCTCAGCCTCCCAAGTAGCTGGGACTACAAGCATGTACTGCCATGCCAGCTATTTATTTATTTATTTACTTACTTACTTACTTATTTATTTAGAGACAGAGTCCAGCTCTGTCACCAGGCTAGAGTTCAGTGGGGTAATCTCAGCTCACTGCAACCTCCGCCTCCCAGATTCAAGCAGTTCTCTTGCCTTAGCCTCCTGAGTAGCTGGGATTACAGGCACATGCTGCCACGCCCAGCTAATTTTTGTAGTTTTAGTAGAGATGGGGTTTCACCTTAGTGGCCAGGATGGTCTTAGTTTGTGACCTTGTGATCTGCCCACCTCAGCCTCCCAAAGTGCTGGGATCACAGGCATGAGCCACCACACCTGGCTTGCTTATTTATTTATTTATTTTGAGACAAAGTGTTGCTCTTGTCACCCAAGCTGGAGTGCAGTGGTGTGATCTTAGCTCACTGCAACCTCTGCCTCCTGGGTTCAGGCAATTCTGCCTCAGCCTCCTGAGTAGCTGGGATTATAGGTGCCCGCCACCACGCTGAGCTAATTTTTGTATTTTTAGTAGAGAGTGGCTTTCACCATGTTGGCCAGGCTGGTCTCCAAATTCTGACCTCAGATGGCCCACCCACCTTGGCCTCCCAAGGTGCTGGGATTACAGGTGTGAACCGCTGCGCCTGGCCCAGATTTTTAATTTGTTTGCAGAGACAGAATCTCACTCTATAGTCTAGGATAGTTATGAACCGTTGGGCTCAAGCCATCTTCCTACCTTAACCTCCCAAAGTGTCGGGATTACAGGAGTGAGTCACTGTGCCCAGCCTTCTTTATAAAATCATTTTTAATGACCTTAATTTTAAGTGTTCAGTTCAGTAATGTTAAGTGTGTGTGTGTGTGTGTGTGTGTGTGTGTATGTATACATACACATACACATTTTTTTTTTTGAGACAGAGTCTTGCTCTCTCACCCAGGCTAGATTGTGCAGTGGTACAATCTCAGCTCACTGCAACCACAGCCTCCTGGGTTTTAGTGATTCCTGTGCCTCAGCCTCCCAAGTAGCTGAGATTATAGGGTGTGCCACCACGCCCAGCTGATTTTTGTTTTTTTCAGTAGAGATGGGGTTTCATCATATTGACCAGGCTGGTCTTGAACTCCTGGCCTCAAGTGATCTGCCATGCCTGCTGTGTTAAGTATATTCACATTGTTGTGCAACTGATCTTCAGAACCCTTTTCATCTTAAAAAACCAAAACTCCATCCCATTAAACAGATCCTCATTTCTCTCCACTCCTTCTGTAACCACTATTTTACTTGCTATTTCTATGGATTGGAAGTAGAGCAGTATTTGCCAGGCACGGTGGCTCACACCTGTAATCCTAACACTTTGGGAGGCTGAGGTTGAGGGGGATCACCTGAGGTCAGGAGTTCGAGACCACCCTGGCCAACATGGTGAAACCCTGTCTCTATTAAAAATACAAAAATTAGCTCAGCATGGTGGCACATACCTGTAGTCCCAGCTACTCAGGAGGCTAAGGCAGGAGAATCATCCAGGAGGTGGAGGTTACAGTGAGCTGAGATTACACCATTGCATTCCAGCAACAGATCAAGACTCTGTCTCAGAAAAAAGAAATAGAGCAGGATTTATCTAGAATAGAGTGAAATCATACTGTAGTTTTTCTTTTTGTGACTGACTGACTTCACTTAGCATAACGTCCTCAGGTTTTGTCCATGTCATAGCATGTGATGAGATTTTCGTCCTTTCTAACAACATCAGGCTCTGTCATGGTTCTTATTTCCTGCTCTCTCTTCTTAGAGAACCCACCGTCTGCTTATCCCTCCCCCAGTCCTCTGTTCCTCTGTCAGGCGTCAGCTCTTTGGTGGGAGTACTTTGACTTCCCAAACAGATTTTAGAATTTTATTCCTGCCACACTTTCCCCACACCGTTCCACCATGCGTGCTTCCATTAGCTAGTTATTTTAGAATTTTATTCCGGCCACACTCTCCCCACACCGTTCCACCATGCGTGCTACCATTAGCTAGTTATTTTAGAATGTTATTCCGGCCACACTCTCCCCACACCGTTCCACCATGCGTGCTACCATTAGCTAGTTATTTTAGAATTTTATTCCGGCCACACTCTCCCCACACCGTTCCACCATGCGTGCTACCATTAGCTAGTTATTTTAGAATTTTATTCCGGCCACAGTCTCCCCACACCGTTCCACCATGCGTGCTTCCATTAGCTAGTTATTTTAGAATGTTATTCCGGCCACACTCTCCCCACACCGTTCCACCATGCGTGCTTCCATTAGGTAGTTATCTTATTTTAATCATTTGCCTCTCTCCCGTGAATTTCCTTAGCTCTGTAGACAGGAATCATATCTTTTCATCTTTGTTTTCCTGCATGTAATAATAATGCTTATGCTATAGGAAGCATTACCAAAAAAGTGTGGATAGGCCAGGTGTGGCTCACAGCTGTAATCATGGCACTTTGGGAGGCCAAGGTGGGCGGATTGCCTGAGCTCAGGAGTTCAAGCCAGCCTGACCAATATGGAAAAACCTTATCTCAACTGAAAATAAAAAATTAGCCGGACATGGTGGTGCGCACCTATAATCCCAGCTACTTGGGAGGCTGAGGCAGAAGAATCACTTCAACCTGGGAAGCAGAGGTTGCAGTGAGCTGAGATCATCCTACCCCACTCCAGCCTGGGCGACAGAGCAAGACTCTGTCTCAAAAATAAAAGAGAAAGTATAGATAGAATAGGTGAATCATATGGCATTTTGGATTCTATAGTCCATAAAAGGAAGATGTGAGAGCTTTGATGTTAAGTGCAAACTTCACACTCATTCTGTAGCTTTTAAACACCAGTCAAGGTCATGCATGGTGGCTCATGCTTGTAATCCCAGCACTTTGGGAGGCCAAGGCGGGAGGATCACTTGAAGGCAGGAGCTTGAGACCAGCCTTGGCTAACATGGCGAAACCCCATCTCTACTAATAATACAAAAATTAGCTGGGCATGGTGTCATGCACCTGTAATTCCAGCTACTCGGGAGGCTGAGGCATGAGAATCACCTGGGAGGTGGAGATTGCAGTGAGCTGAGATCGTGCCATTGCACTTCAGCCTGGGCAACAGAGTGAGACTTGGTATATATGTATGTATATATATATGACTAAATAAACAAATAAGACTTGGTCTCAATAAATAAATAAACTCCAGTCTATATATACATGCCTATTGCTGTCATTTGAATTCTGTATTGGTGAAATTATTTACTTTAGAATATTTCTACATTAATAGACTGCTCCCTGTCCCGTAAGAGATACTCCATGGAAACCCAGTATCTTTCAAGTATCTTACTGTGTTTTTTGCAGCATAAACTTGAATGTGATTTACAGGAGAAAGAGGAAGAGATTGATGAATTGCAGAAAGCTCTAAGTGATATGCAGGTCTGCCTCTTCCAAGAATGGGAACATGTTTTACGCCTCTACTCAGAAAATGACCGACTGAGAATCAGGTACCGAGTAGGAGAGGGGAAAGGTTGGAGTTATAACTTGAAATTACTTTATTTATTTATTTTTGAGACAGCCTCACTCTGTTGCCCAGGCTAGAGTGCAGTGGTGCAATTTTGGCTCACTGCAGCGTCTGCCTCCTGGTTCAAGTGATTTTCATGCCTCAGCCTCTTGAGTAGCTGTGATTACAAGTGTGCACTGCAATGCCTAGCTAATTTTTGTATTTTTAATAGAGACAGCGTTTTGCCCTGTCATCCAGGCTGGTCTCCAACTCCTGGCCTCAAGTGATCCACCTACCTCAGCCTCCCAAAGTGCTGGGATTACAAGTGTGAGCCACCATGCCCAGCCCTTTAAATTACTTTTAAAAAGATAAATTTTTCCACATTAATTCTCTTAGGTTGTATTCCATAGGAAACAGACTCTAAGATGGAGATTTGCCTTCAGGGCAGTTATGGGAGAAGCTCTCTGATAATAGCTATGAGCAGATTTGGGCAGAGATAGAATAGGAACAGATACAATGGTAACAGAGGCCTTAGTCAACCCCATAGGGAGCACTAAGGATAGGGGGGCCTTTTGGTGGCAAAGGACTCAAATTTGTGTCCCCACATTGACCAGTCATAGGATGCAAGCTGTCCCCAGGGAGGGTGTGTAGACTTGGGAGAGGAAGCCCCCTTGAGCCAAGTGAAATTTTTAGAGAAGAACTGAGCTCCTGGGAGATGAATGTCTTGGTCCTGAGGGGGAATTGAGCAGTACACTACATGTTCCACTACAGTACACTTCTGTGTGTGTGTGCTGGGAGTGGAGGACAGGGGGTAATATATACATAACATAAAGTTTACCATTTTGGCCATCTGAAGTGTACAATTTGGTGGCATTAAGTATGTTCATACTGTTGCACAACTGTCACCCCCGTTCATTTCTAGAACATGTTCATATTCCTAAGCTGAAATTGTGTACCCATTCAGCAGTAGCTCCCGCATCCCCGTTACCTTAGTCCCTGGGACACACATCATTCTACTTTTCATCTCTATGAATTTGACTATTCTAGGTACCTCATGTAAATGGAGTCATATAGTATTTGTTACATCGGGCTTATTTCACTTAGCATAATATCTTCAGAGTTCATCCATGTTGTAGCATCTGTCAGAATTTTCCTCGTTTTTAAGACTGAACAACGTTCCATTATATGTGTGTACCACATTTTGTTTATCTATTCACCCACCGGTGTATCTCAGCTCACTGCAACCTCTGTCTCCCAAACTCAAGCGATCTGCCCACCTTAGCCTCCTGAGTAGCTGGGACTACAGGTGTGCCAACATGCCTGGCTAATTTTTTCTGTAATTTTTATAGAAACAGGGTTTTGCCATGTTACCCAGGCTAGTCTCCAATTCCCAAGCCCAAGTGATCTGCCAGCCCTAGCCTCCCAAAGTGCTGGGATTACAGGAGTGTGCTACTGTACCCAGAAGTAGATCATATGGTAATTCTGTTTTTATTTTTTTGAGTAACTACCATACTATTTTCTATAGTGGCTATACTGTTTTATATTCCCACCAGCAGTGCACAAGAGTTTCGGTTACTCCACATCCTTGCCAGTATCTGTTATTTTCTTTTTTTTTCAAAGCTTTTTTTTTTTGAGACAGGGTCTTGCTTCGTCACCCAGACTGGAGCACAGTGGCATGATCTTGGCTCACTGCAACCTTTACCTCCCAGACTCAGGTGATCCTCACACTTCAGCCTCCAAGTAGCTGGGACTACATACATGTAGCACCACGCCCAGCTAATTTTATATATATATATATATATTTTTTTTTTTTTTTTTTTTTTTTTTTTTGGTAGAGATGAGGTTTTACCATGTTTTCCAGACTGGTCTCAAATTCCTGAGCTGAAGCAATCTTCCTGCCTCAGCCTCTGAAAGTGCTAGGATTATAGGCCTGAGCCACTGTGCCTGGCCAACACTGGTTATTTTCTGGGGTTTTTTTTTTTTTTTTTGGAGACCGGGTCTTGCTCAGTCACCCAGGCTGGAGTACAGTGGCAGGACCACAGCTCACTGCAGCCTTGACCTCCCAGACTCAGATGATCCTCCCACCTCAGCCTCCCAATTAGTTTGGGGCCACGAGTGTGCACCACTATGCTTGGCTAATTTTTGAAGAGATGAGGTTTCACCATGTTGCCCAGGCTAGTCTCAAACTCCTGAGCTGAAGCGATTTGCCCAGCTTGGCCTTCCAAAGTGTTAGGATTACAGGTGTGAGCCACTGTGCCCAGCCTTATTTTCTGTTTATTTGATAGTAACCATCTTAATGGGTGTGAGGGAGTCTCACTGTGGTTTTGATTTGCATTTAAAAATGTTGAGCATCTTTCATGTGCCATTTGTATATCTTCTTTGGGGAAATGTTTATTCAAATCTTTTGCCCATTTTAATAATTGGGTTAATTTTGTTGTTGAGTTGTAGAAGTGCTTTTTTGTTGTTGTTGAGACGGTCTCGCTCTGTCACCCAGGCTAGAGTGCAGTGGCATGATCACGGCTCACTGCACCCTCTGTCTGCTGGGCTCAAGCTGTCCTCCCATGTGAGCCTCCCGAGTAGCTGGGACTACAGGCATGTGCCACCAGGCCTGGCTAATTTTTGTGTTTTTGGTAGAGTCAGAGTTTTGCTATGCTGCCCATGCTGGGCTCAAACTCCTGAGCTCAAGTGACCCACCCATCTATTAGAGGTGTGAGCCACCGTGCCTGGCCATAGAAGTTCTTTATATATTCTGGATATTAAACTTTATTAGATATACTGATATATGCAAATATTTTCTCCCATTCCATAGATTGCCTTTTTATTTTCTCCTTTCTTTTGTATTTTAGAGACAGGGTATCACTGTCGGCCAGGATGATCCTCCTGCCTAAGCCTCTGGAATAGTTGGAACTACAGGCATGTGCCACTATGCCTGGCTAATTTATTTTCTTTTTTGTAGCAACAGGGGCGGGGGGTCTCACTATATTGCTCAGGCTGGTCTTAAACTTCTGGCCTCGGGTGATCCTCCTGCTTCAGCCTCCCAAAGTGCTAGGATTACAGGAATCAGCCACTGTGCCCAGCCAGGAGTTTTTAATTTTTATGAAGTTCAATTTATGTATTTTTTTCTTTTGTTGCTTCCGCTTTTGGTATCACGTCTAAGAAAATTGCCAAATTCATTGTCAGGAAGCTTTTCTTCTATGTTTTCTTTGAAAAGCTTTTGTTTTTTGTTTTCTTTTTTGAGTTGGAGTTTTGCTCTTGTTGCTCAGGCTGGAGTGCAATGGCGATTCTCCTGCCTCAGCCTCCTGAGTAGCTGTGATTACAGGCATGTGCCACCATGCCTGGCTAATTTTGTATTTTTAGTAGAGAGGGTTTCTCCATGTTGGTCAGGGTGGTCTTGAACTCCCGACCTCAGGTGATCTGCTCGCCTCAGCCTCCCAAAGTGCTGGGATTATAGATGTGAGCACTAGAAAAGAGCACTTCCTGCCTCTTTTAAAGTTTTAATTATTTTAGCTCTTATGTTTAAGTCTTTGATCCATTTGAGGTTTTTTTTTTCTTTGAGATGGAATCTTGCCCTGTCACCAGGCTGGAGTGCAGTGGTACGATCTCGGCTTACTGCAACCTCTGTCTCTCGGGTTCAAGCGATTCTCCTACCTCAGCCTCCTGAGTAGCTGGGACTACAGGCACCCGCCACCATGCCCGGCTAATTTTCATACTTTTAGTAGAGATGGGGTTTCACCATGTTGACCAGGGTGGTCTCAATTTCTTGACCTCATGATCCACCCACCTCGGCCTCCCAAAGTGCTGGGATTACAGGCATGAGCCACCAAACCCGGCCTTGAGTTAATTTTTGTATATAGCGTTAGGTAAAGTTCCAACTTCATTCTTTTGCATGTGGATGTCCAGTTTTCTCAACACCATTTGTTGAAAAGACTTAGCCACATGGTTTATTTTTATTTTTATTTTGAGACAGGGTCTCCCTTTGTCACCCAGGCTGGAATGTTGTGGCACAATCTTGGTTCACTGCAACCTCTGGCTCCCAGGCTCAAGTGATCCTCCTGCGTCATCTTTCCAAGTAGTTGGGACTACAGACACAAGCCAACACACCTGACTAATTTTTGTATTTTTGTAGAGACAGGATTTTTCCATGTTGCCCAGGCTGGTCTCAAACTCCTGAGCTCAAGCGATTAGTCCTCCTCACCTCCCAAAGTGCTGGGATTTCAAGTGTGAGCCACCGTGCCCAGCCTTGCCACATGGTTTTTGATGTCCCATGGTCAGGTGCTCCATTTCTAGCAGGATCTACTAGCATGACAGAAGCTGGTTTTTAAATGTTTTGTCATTCTCAGCTGTAGACAGCATAGTCTTGCTGCAGATTCTTAGAGGGTCTTTTACGATTCTTGTAATGGTGCTTGCTGTAAACTCCACTTGGTATCTTGTGCCACCACAGATACCATAGGATCTGCCAAGTCATATGTCCCAAGCAATAGAGCCTCCTTTCAACTCGGGGCCACACTGAAAGCTCGCCTTCCATGTCAGTTGATATATGGGATACTGATCCCAAAATACGAAGGGTGTTGTCTACAGAACCTGAAGACGCTTTTCAGGCATTATGCTTCCTTCTTGTTGGTAGCAGGTACCAGAGGAAATAATTTGATCTTTACTTCGGGGGGAGTATCCTGATATACCTAGATCACACCCTTAAAAACTTTACGTATGTGCTTTGTAAGGTTCATCTCCAACTCTTTGTTGCACATGTGTCTCACCAAGGGTTCCAGTGCACTTGCTCTTTCTTGTTCATGTGATTTAATGCGATGTCATCAGTAGTGAGCTCCTGGCGATTTGTGAAGTAGCCAGATCCAGATTCCTCTTTTTTTTTTTTTTTTTTTGGAGACAGAGTTTCACTCTGTTGCCCAGGCTGAAGTGCCATGGCAAAATCTTGGCTCACTGCAACCTCACCTCTTGGGTTCAGGCAATTCTGCTTCAGCCTCCTGAGTAGCTGGAGGCTACGCCTAGCTAATTTTTGTATTTTTTAGTAGAGATGGAGTTTCACCATATTGGACAGGCTTGTCTTGAACTCCTGACCTCGTAATCCTCCTGCCTCTGCCTTGCAAAGTGCTGGGATTACAGGTGGGAGCCACCTTGCCCGGCCCAGATTCTTTTATACTATATTGACAGAGAAAAAATGCATTAACATGGCCCTGGGGGAAGACTCTAAAAGTACACCATTGTAGACACCACATGATATAAACTGCCTGTGGTCTTTTGAGGGGTAGAAAAGAATGCATTTACCTAACTAGTGACCACATACCATATGCCTGAGACCAAGTAATTGTGTTCCAGCAAGGGTGCTACACCTGGCACAATGACTGAAATTGGGACCTACTTGCTAGTAGTCTGCTGTTATCCTCCAGAATCCATCTGGTTTTGTATAGGTTGTAGTGAGGAATGAAATAAGGCTTTGATAAGGACCTCCACCCCTGCATTCTTTAGGTCTTTATTGATCATCTTGACTGGGTAGGGAGGGGCGGTTTCAGCGGCTTTTACTTAGCTTACCCCAGAAGCCAAGAAGCTAGTTTGGAGGTACTGCCACCTACCTAGTATGACCATTTTAATCATTTGGGAACTGAAGACATGACCATTGATTTGGTAGATCCAGTAGACCTGCTGTGAGCTAGACGTGCACCAAAATTCCATTTATTCTTTGGTGCCCACATGCCCCAGTGCCATCATGATGCTTCAGGTTTTGTGGTATCAGCGTCAGCTTAGACCCTGCATCCAGCAATCCTTCAAATACCCAGGTCTTCCCTTTTCCCCAGTATATAGTTACTTGAATAAATGGCTATAGGCCCTTTGAAGGATGGGGGGAATCAACCATGAACATCTACCCTGTAGTGTCTCAGGGTCTTACCTCCTGGGATTTCTACCCTCTTCTTTAGGTAATAGTCCTGGGGACTTATAAAACTGACTTGGGCCTGGAAAATGAGTCAGAGATTGTGATTTTGCATGGGATGCAGCCCTCAGCCTCTTTTCCATCTTTGACTTACCTTTTATTGTTTAGGCTATACTCTGTTGACTACCCATCTACCTTGCTGTGAGAAATGTCATGTTCTATAAACCATCTCTGTATCACTGGCTCTGAAATCCCTTTTTATGTTTTTTATTTTTATTTTTATTTTTGAGACAGAGTCACACTGTCACCCAGGCTGGAGTGCAGTGGCGCTGTCTCGGCTGACTGCAGCCTCCACCTCCCAGGTTTAAGCAATTCTTCTGCCTCACCCTCCTGAGCAGCTGGAATTACAGGCACACACCACCACACCTAGCCAATGTTTGTATTTTTAGTAGAGAACTCCTGACTTCAGCCTCTCAAAGTGCTGGGATTGCAGGTGTGAGCCACCACACCCAGCCTGAAATCCCTTTTCAGCGTTGGCCTCCTTGGTCCAGTCCAGACCTGAGCTATCTTAGGTTGGGTTCTCTGGGAAACAGACTGTGCCATGGAGATTTGCTTGCAGGAATTGTATTGGGAAGTAAGGCAACTGAAACTGGGATTCAGTTGCAGCAGGCCTCAGCCAACACCACAGGGGTCTCTGAAGCTGGGATGGCTCTTGAAAGATATCCTGAACTGAGGCAAGGGGATTGGATTTTTGTGTCCCCCTCATTGACCAGGCACTGGATATGAGCTGTCCCCAAGGAATAAGAGGCAGAAACCGGGGTGAGGCAGTTCCCTTGGCTGGAGATTCAACTACAAGCTGTCAGCAGACAGCATTCCTGGCAGGTGGCAGAATGAGCCCATAAGCCAAGAAAAATAAGATCTGAGCAGTGCTCCTCAGCAGCCACTACAGTTCCCTTTTAAAATCAGCACAAAATGTCCTGGCCCCTTCTCTCTGAATGGAAATACCTGATGTTTTACAAAGTAGAGCTAAAGTCTAGGTACATCCTATTCAGTTTTAATTTGAGGTTACTATTTTAATTTGAGGTTTAACTTTAATTTGAGGTTACTATTGTTTAAAAAAATAGAAGGGAGATCCTTTAAACAGAAAAGGTTACTTACTTGGGACATGTAATAATGTGTGTTTGCTTTCTATGAGAATTACAGGGAACTAGAAGACAAGAGAAGAAAGATCTAGAATCTCTTGGCTCTTGTGGGAACAGACACTGGAGAAGTGACCTATTTTTGTAAGGAGCCTCCTCACAAAGTAAGTAATCTTTGGTGGAGCATGGTGAGGGTGGCTTTACAGATCACAGGCTAGGGCCCGTCATCAGAAGAATTTTAGCATTTGCTAGAGAAGGCAGATGGAGAATTAGCTATCATAATGCCGTGTTTGCCTGAGTTTTCAAAGCCTTTTTGTTTGAAGACCTTGGGAAGTAGCATTGTTTACCTCGTTTCACTGTTTAGAAACCTGAAGCCCAGAGGGGTGGCTGTTTTAGCTGAGATTGAGAGAAAAGAAGGAGCAGACTGTGTGGGAGACAGTTTTGGTACTTAAGTTGCTTTTTAAATCTTTGTTTATGCTGATTGCAAATCTAATCCGTGGTCTTTACTAAAAACAAACACAGAGTATAGTAATCTATCATATGAAAATGGCAGGTTCTCATAATCCTATACCACAGAGATAATTCATTATTAATAGTTTGGTATATATACTTCCATCTGTTTTTCCATTCCTATAGAAATAGTGATGTGTATATGTATACTATTTCTTTTTTTTCACTTATATAAACAGTTTCTGAGCATTTTTATACATATCTGTATATGTATATATCCATTTCCTAAGGGTCTTTGGTCAAGAGCTGCTTTTTTTTTTTGAGACAAAGTCTCATTCTGTTACACAGGTTGGAGTGCAATGCGCAATCTTGGCTCACTGCAGCCTCTGCCTCCTGGGCTCAAGCAATCCTTTCACCTCAGCCCAAGCAGCTGTGACTACAGGTGTACACCACCATGCCCAGCTAATTTTTGTATTTTTTGTAGATACAGGGTTTTACCATGTTGTCCAGGCTGGTCTCAAAACTCCTGAGCTCAAGCAATCTGCCTGCCTTGCCCTCCCAAAGTGCGGGGATTACAGGCATAAACAACCACATCCACCAAAGAGCTGCTTTTAAAAAGTTTTTTTTTTTTTTTTTTAATTTTTTTTTAGAGCTGAGGTCTTGCTCTGCTGCCTGGGGTAGACTCACACTTCTGGGCTTAAGCACCGTCCTTCCACCTACAGTCAAGTATCACTGTGCCCCAAGCTATTTTTGTTTTTGTTTTTAATCATGTATTACTAAATAGCCTTGCAATTTTATTTAGGTATTTATTTTATTTTTTCTAGAAACAAGGTCTTACTCTGTTGCCCAGGTTGGAGAGCAGTGGAGTGATCATAGCTCACTGCAGCCTTGAGCTCTTGGGCTCAAACAATCCTCCCACCTCAGCCTCCTGAGTAGTGGGGACCACTCAGCCAACTTTAAGTTTCTATCGTCAACACAGGGTTTTATCCAATTTGTTACTTTGCCTGCGTGGCCTCTCATATGCATGACATCCTTATATAATATCAATTTTGACAAATTTAACTTAGAGTTTTCGATCTGCAGAACTAAGGCAGATCAAAAAGTAAAATATTACATTTATAGGAAGGCACTTCTATACCAGTTTTTGCTTCTTCAGGTCACCATTCTCCAAAAGACTATCCAGGCTGTGGGTGAATGTGAGCAGAATGAATCTTCAGCTTTCAAAGCAGGTAACAACCATATAACCTATTAGAAATTCTCACTGATGCAGAATTGACAATCACAGTGCAGGCTGGGCATGGTGTCTCATGCCTGTAACCCCAGCACTTTGGGAGGCTGAAGTGGGCAGATCACCTGAGGTCAGGAGTTTGAGACCAGCCTGGCCAACATGGTGAAACCCCATCTCTATGAAAAATACAAAAAATTAGCCGGCGTGTTGGCAGGTGCCTGTAATCCCAGCTACTTTGGAGGCTGAGGCAGGAGAATTGCTTGATCCCGGGAGGCAGAGGTTGCAGTGAGCAGAGAGATCACACCATTGCACAACAGAGCAAGTCTCTCTTTTTTTTTTTGAAATGGAGTCTTGCTCGTTGCCAGGCTGGAGTACAGTGGCATGATCTCAGCTCACTGCAACCTCCGCCTCCCAGGTTCAAGAAATTCCCCTGCCTCAGCCTCCTGAGTAGCTGGACTACAGGTGCGTGCTACCACGCCCAGGTAATTTGTGGTTTTTTGTTTTGTTTTGTTTTCTTTTTCTTTTGTATTTTAGTAGAGATGTAGTTTCACCATGTTGGCCAGGATGGTCTGGATCTCCTGACCTTGTGATCTGTCTGCCTTGGCCTCTGAAAATGCTGGGATTACAGGCATGAGCTACCACACCTGGCCAACTCTGTCTCAAAAAAATAAGAAAAAAAGAAAAGAAAATCACAATGCAGACAACCGGAAATGTTTTCCTACTGTACAGTGATAATTGACATTCATGATGATGCCTTTGGTGATCTAATGTCTTAATGAGCTTTTCGAATCATCCAAGAAATTAAATTTTGCTCAGTTCAATTTTTAGTCTTCCTTATTTTTAAAATAACCTTGTCTTTTGAAAATTGTGTGATGTGTCATAACCAAAATGTTTAAGTTTTGTTTTTCTTATTCTGTTTGTTGATTGATTGATTGAGACAGACAGGCTCTGTCACCCAGCCTGCAGTGCAGTGGTGCAATCATGGTTTACTGTAACCTTAAACTCCTGGACTCAAGTGACCCTCCCACCTCAGCCTCCTGAGTACCTGGGACGATAGGCAAGCACCACCACACGTGGCTAATTTATTTTATTTTGTGTAGAGTGGGGTTCTCACTCTGTCACTCAAGTTGGCCTTGAACTCCTGGCCTCAAGTAATTGTCCTGCTTTGTCCTCCCAAAGCACTGGTATTATAGGCATGAGCCACAGCACCTGACCTTATTCTGATTAAATAGAATTTTATTAAGAAATAGACACAACTATTTTAGTGGTTTATTCTAAGGAAAATTTAGTGGTTGATTGTGCCAGAAGATGAATAATACGGTTATTTAGGTGACATCCAGCAGAGTTCCCTTATAGAGATTCCTATTCCAAAAGTTAAGCCCTGTAGTTACAATCTTTCCCTTTTTCCTTATTTTCTTCCCTTACAGGTAAATGAATCTGAACTCCTCTGCACAGAAAATGCTGATATTTCAATAACAGACGGAAAAGCTAGGTAAAATCTTGATTGATTTTGTTTTCTATTTTATATCCTAAAATAAGCAAAAGAAGACCATCAAGAGAAAGAGGAGAAAGTTCTGGGCATTATCAAAGAGACATACAGACGCTGATCCTACAGGTAAAGAATGTATTTTGGCAAACCAAGATGGCTTTTATCCACAAGTTGAACTTTATATAACATATCTTCAGTATCATGTGGTAAGTATCTCACTGCACACAGGTTACGTTTAAGCACCATGTGATTAAGAAAATTGTGGTCATTCCTAATTTCCAAGAGCTTATATTTTAAAACCATCCTTTTCTATTGGAACATTCTAAAAGCGCTACTCTGCACCTTTAATTCAATATGCTAAGCCCCACCCACCAAAACCATTATAAAGTGAGAATTCTCTGGCCTAGGGGTATGCAGAGAGTTGCAGAAGGAAGCTTGTCTGTGCTGATATATCAACATTTGGTGGTACATTCATTTATTTAGTGCATGAGTTCTAAAGTCTGGGAAAGTGATGAACTATTAACCTCCTGGTTATTATGTGTCATTGGAACCATGATTTTTTATCTAATTGCACTAAAGTTTCTGTCCTCATTAGGATAAGTCTCTTGATTTAAATGACAGTTTTTTCCTTTGGCCAGTGTCTCCATGTGGAGTCATGGCAGCCAGCCAGAGAAGGAAATTACATTATATTCATTTTGCTCTACTTGTTGAAACCAAAAACGAAGAAAAGAGTCATTCTGTTTCTGTGCAGCTAAGGTGTCTTAAAAGGGAGGCAGTTAGGGAGACAGCAAAAAGGCACAAATCACAGGGTCGAGTAAATTGAATTTTGTAGCTTTGTTTGTGTAATGTTGATGCTGGGTTTTGTGTGGACAAAGAATCTACTCTTGTGTAGCCTAACCCCATTTATAAGACATTAAGAGGAGGCCGGGCAAGGTGGCTCATGCCTGTAATTCCAACACTTTGGGAGGCTGAGGCAAGTGGATCACGAGGTCAGCAGATCAAGACCACTCTGGCCAACATGGTGAAACCCTGTCTCTACTAGAAATACAAAAATTAGCTGGATGTGGTGGCACATGCCTGTAATCCCAGCTACTTAGGAGGCTGAGGTAGGAGAACTGCTTGAAGCAGGGAGTTGGAGGTTGCAGTGAGCCAAGATTGTGCCACTGTACTCCAGCCTGGTGACAGAGCAAGTCTCGGTCTCAAAAAAAAAAGACATTAAGAGGAATTGGGCTGGGCATGGTAATGCCTATAATCTTAGCACTTTGGGAGGCCAAGGAGAGATGATTGCTTGAGCCCAAAAGTTTGAGATCAGCCTGGACAACATAGTAAGACCCCATCTCTATAACCCGAGACCAGCCTGGACAACATAGTGAGACCCCCATCTCTACAAAAAATAAAAGTAAAATTAGCTGGGTGTGGTGGTACACACCTGTATTCCTGGAGGCTGAGGCAGGGAGGACTGCTTGAGCCCAGGAGATTGAGGCTGCAGTGAGCTATGATCATACCACTGCACTCCAGCCTGGGTGACAGAGCAAGACCTTGTCTCAAAACAAAGAAGAGGATTAGAATTGAGACTTTTTGTTTGTGTTTGTTTTTTAATTTTTCTGGAGAAAGGCTCACTTTTCCTAGAGGTATGAAGTAAGTGGAAGTAGGGCTGGATTTCTCACACTTTTTGGCCTGTCTAGGTGGAAGCACTGCAGGCTCAGCTGGGAGAACAGACCAAACTTTCTCGAGAACAAGTGGAAGGGCTCATGGAGGATAGACGGATTCGCCTCGAGGAAGTACAAGTTCAGCACCAGAGAAATCAGGACAAAATCAAAGAACTAACCAGAAAGTGAGTGTCTAAGAAGCTGTGCCTAACAGGTGTTTTATTTTTCTGAGTGGCTTGAACGTTAACATTTTGTACTTGAGCAACTGTGGGTCACAGAACTGAAGGGAACCTTGAAAAAATTGTCTTCCTCAGAAACACCTGCCTCTAGGTGGATGAGTGTCTCGCTTTTCTAGGCATGCTGTTGAAGAGCTGATGAGTTTTTCACCTGCTCCTTTAAATCCATTTTAGCGTTTTAGCTTGCTTCTGGTGGTTAAGAAGTTCTTCGGCTGGGTGCAGTGGCTCACGTCTAGGCGACAGAATGAGACCCTGTCTCAAAAAAGAAAAAAGTGTTATTTTATCCACTGATGTGCTGTCTGACTCAATGTACTAGGGTCCTTTTCATTTGTTTGCCCCTTCATGAATATGGAAAAGATGAGTTTACATATCTATACCAAAAAACCTGCACACTCAGTATTTTCATCAGAACTCTGCCAGTGCTTTTTTCTAGAGACGTGTCATCATTTTTGTCTTCTAAGAAATTTTTGACCCAAGAAAGGCAGGATTCTATTTTTTTCAAACAGATTGAGTTGGTGTAGTGTATTCTTGGTTATCAAAATACTCAAAAAGCTTTGGGATTTTGAATTGGTAAATATCTATGATGTGTGAAACAGCATGATACATACTGTACGATCTCAATCCCATAAAATGGGATGTTGTGTCTACACACAAAGACTTAGAACGTCCTATAAACTTTACAGTTTACAAACTGTAAAGTGCCTCTGATTGTGGCTGATTTTATTCTTTGCTTCTTGTGTGTTTCAGTTTCCTATAATGTACATACTTTTAAAAAATTATTAGGCTGGGTGTGGTGGCTCACACCTGTAATCCTAGCACTTTGGGAGGCCGAGGCGGGAGGATCACGCGGTCAGGAGTTAAGACCAGCCTGGCCAACATGGTGAAACCCTGTCTCTATTAAAGATACAAAAAGTTAGCTAGGTGTGGTTGCATGTGCCTGTAATCCCAGCTACACAGGAGGCTGAGGCAGAATCTCCTGAACCCAGAAGGCAGAGGTTGTAGTGAGCCAAGATCACACCATTGCACTCCATCCTGGGGGACAGGGCGAGATTCCATCTCAAAAAAAAAAAAAAAAATCTAAACAAATAAAAGCAAGAAATAGCAAACTCTGTCGTCATGGTTTTTGTTCCTGACCCGCTTGCTTTTCTTTACTTTTCTGCAGTCTGATTTCATCCCCACCATTTTATGAAGCATGCCCTTTCTGGGATCATCATTGACCTCTTAACTTTTTTTTTTTTTTTTTTCCTGGAGACCAAGTCTCACTCAGTTGCCCAGGCTGAAGAGCTGTGGTGCCATCCTGGCTCACTGCAACCTCCGCCTCCCCGGTTCAAGCAATTCTCCTGCCTCAGTCTCCCAAGTAACTTGCATTACAGGGGCACGCCACCACACCCCGCTAATTTTGTATATCTAGTAGAGATGGGGTGTCACCATGTTAGCTAGTCTGGTCTCGAACTCGCGACCTCTGGTGATTCACCTGCCTCGGCTTCCCAAAGTTCTGGGATTACAGGCATGAGCCACTGCGCCCGGCCGTCCTCTTAACTTCTAAGACCAGTTATATCTCTGTTCAGTCCTTATTATACTTAGTATCTTCCTGCATATTTGCCATCACTGATCAGCCCCTCCTTGAATTCATTTTTCTTGATTTCTGCAGCACCTGTCTTTCTTGGTTCTTCTACCTGTCTAACCACTTCACCCTTTTGTCTGGTTCTAGAGGCCAGACCTATGCCACAAGGACATCCTCAGTTGAAGGTGTTTGAGCCTGTCAAATTCATTATTACTGAAACCACACACACTGTTTGTCTCTTCCAACAAATACCCGCGTCCCCATCTCAAACCTACGACTTTTTTTCATTTAGTTTCATGGCATCACATGTATTCAGTTTCCCAAGATTGAAACCACAAGATCATCTTCAACTCTTAAACTTACTCCTTAATTCCAAACACTATGGACTGTAAGCCTAAAAACGCTCTTAAGTCCATTTTCTGCTCTCTCATTGTTTTGTTTTGTTTCAGTAGACAGGGTCTGTTGCCCAGAGTATGAGTGCGGTGGCGTGATCATAGCTCATTGCAGCCTCGTACTCCTAGGCTCATGCAGTCCTCCTGCCTCAGCCATTCAGGTACCTAAGATTACAGGTGCATGCCACCAGACCTGGCTTATTTTTATTATTTTTTGTAGAGATGGGGTCTTGCTGTGTTGCCCAGGCTAGTCTCAAACTCCTGGCTTCAAACAGTCCTCTCACCTCAGCCTCCTGAAGCACTGGGATTACAGGCATGAGTGACTATGCCAAGCCCTGCGTTCTTATTCTTACTACATTAATTCAAGCTCTATTCCTTTGTTTAATTGTTGCAGTAATCTACCTGTTCTTCCTGTCTCTGATCCTTTGTATTCTTACAGTCCTCCTGACTACTATGATTAGTTCCTCTGTTAGGAATTGTCAACTGGTTAAAAATATTTCATAGTCTCCACTTACCTTATAATGAAGTCCTGATACCTTAGCATCCGTTTTTAGGGACATCATCATTTGACATCAAATAAACTTTTAGCCTCAGCTCCTCCCCTGTTGCTGTAGTTCATCTTGTGCTTCAGCCAGACTAATTATAACTATTGTTTATGGGACACTTGTTACGTGGCAGCACCTTCCATCACCTCCTTCTTTGATGACTTCTCTAGGCCAACTTCAGTTCTTCCTTCTCCCTATTCCCATGTTTAGCATGCCTCTGTGGTGACACTTATCACCACGTATTGTAATGCTGCCTTTGTTCCCAGAGTCTTGCTGTGTGGCCTCTGCCCTGCTCTCTGTGCACAATAGGCACACAGTAAATATTTGTTGAATACGTAACAGTCCTTATCAAATTGTACCTTACCATCACTTTTGTGCAATAAACATCCTACCTTTTAAAATATTTTCTCATGTTACATTCTTCATTCTTATGTCATTTTCTTACTGTCTTCCCAAACGTTTCTAGTGTCTATTTCTCCATTGTCAAGTGTGGTGATTAAAATTGGACATGATATTCAAATTAGGATCTCTGAAAATTGCAGGGTAGAAAATGTCTTCTGGCCCTTACAAGCTATGTTTCTTTTCTTTTCTGTTTTTGTTTGTTTGTTTGTTTGTTTTTGAGACGGAGTCTCGCTCTGTTGCCCAGGTTGGAGTGCAGTGGCGCCATCTCGGCTCACTGCAACCTCCGCCTCCCAGGTTCAAGCAATTCTTCTGCCTCAGCCTCCCAAGTAGCTGGGATTACAGGCACTCGCCACCCCCGCCCAGCTGATTTTTGTGTTTTTAGTAGAGACAGGGTTTCACCATGTTGACCAGGCTGGTCTTGAACTCCTGACCTCAGGCGATCTGCCCACCTCAGGCAATCTGCCCACCTCAGCCTCCCAAAGTGCTGGGATTACAGGCGTGAGCCCCCACACCTGGCCTGCTGTGTTTCTTTTAACATAGTATAATGTATTTGCATTTGGCCAGTATTTCTCCATTTTCATTTCTATTTTTAATATTTTTGCACTTAAGTTTAGCATCTTGACTTTTCATTGAGTTTTGTTTCTAAGGGACAGATATTTTAAAATTGTCACAGTAATTTGTAATTTTTTATCTGTTTTTCCAGAATATCAATAACTTTCCTTGTTTAGCATTATCTTCACATCTGAGCACGTGATCGGTTCCTTCCATTAGATAGATCTTCCTATGAACGGCATGAAATCCAAGGCCATTAATGACTGCCCTTTGGGTGTCACTTTCAAGCTACTAGTATTTTAACAACCCCATACTTTCCCGGTTTGTAATTGAGAACATAATGTAAGACAGAATAAAATAACTCATTGAAAGTGGGGGAGATCCGTGTGGTAACTGAATCAATCTCTCTCTATACACATGCATACATACCTGACTGCATATATTCAACTTGTGACATTTACTCTACTGTGTGCTTGGCACTATGCTATCATTTTCCTCTTATCTGTTATGAAAATAACTAAATGGATCCGACATTATTTGTTCAGTAGAAAACTATAGCGATTGTTTCATGATATTTAACATTCTCGCAAGCAGTTAGATCATTTGGTATAGCATTTTTCTAGGTGTTGATGTTAAACTGATGAGTTGCTAGCTTCCAGGGGTATTGTTTTTAGAGACAGAAACATTGTCTATCCCCAAATTTCAGGAAATAGTCATCAAGAATCTGTTTACTGCCTGTGTATGTCTAGTAGTTAGTATTATCCTTGACAATTTCATGGCATTGGGGCAAAAATAAGCGATAAATAAGGTATATGCTTTCACTCAGGCTGGGAAAAAGTGCATGTTGACAGTTAAAATATGACAGGTGAGCAAGTATTGGATTATAAGATGAGAACATTAGCACTGTTATGGAATTTCAGAGAATGGAGGAACTAAAATAGGCTAAAGTTGTTGAAAATGACTTCATGTAGGAAGTTGACTTTTTAAAAAGGAAGCTAGGTGCAGTGGCTCACACTTGTAATCCCAGAATTTTGGGAGGCTGAGGTGAGAGGATTGTATGAGCCCAGGAGTCCCAGACCAGACCAGCCTAGGCAATATAGCAAGACCCTGTCTCCTTACACACAAATATTTTTTAATAAGCTGGCACACCCCCCTGGGAGGTAGTCTCAGCTGCTTAGGAAGCTGAGACAGAAGGATTGCTTGAGCCCAGGGGGTCGGGGCTGCTGTGAGCCGTGATTGTGCCACTGCACTTCAACCTAGGTGACAGAGCAAGACCCTGTCTCAAAAAAAAAAAGTTATTTTTCTCTTTTTTTTTTTTTTTTTAATTTTTTATTGGATTATAGGTTTTGGGGTACATGAGCAGAGCATGCAAGACAGTTGTGTAGGTACACACATGGCAGTGTGCTTTCTTTTCTTCTCCCCTTCACCCACATTTGGCTTTTCTCCCCAGGCTATCCCTCCCCCCCACCCCCCCCCCCAGGCCCACCCCCTTTTCCCCCCCAAAGACCCCAGTGTTTAGTACTCCCCTTTCTGTGTCCATGTGTTCTCATTTTTCATCACCCGCCTATGAGTGAGAATATGCGGTGTTTCATTTTCTGTTCTTGTGTCAGTTTGCTGAGGATGACGTTCTCCAGATTCATCCATGTCCCTACAAACGACACAAACTCATCATTTCTGATTGCTGCATAATATTCCATGGTGTATATGTGCCACATTTTTCCAATCCAGTCTATTATCAATGGGCATTTGGGTTGATTCCAGGTCTTTGCTATTGTAAACAGTGCTGCAATGAACATTCGTGTACATGTGTCCTTATAGTAGAACGATTTATAGTCTTTTGGATATATACCCAGTAATGGGATTGCTGGGTCAAATGGAATTTCTATTTCTAAGGCCTTGAGGAATCGCCACACTGTCTTCCACAATGGTTGAACTAATTTACACTCCCACCAACAGTGTAAAAGTGTTCCTTTTTCTCCACATCCTCTCCAGCATCTGTTGTCTCCAGATTTTTTAATGATCGCCATTCTAACTGGCGTGAGATGGTATCTCAATGTGGTTTTGATTTGCATCTCTCTGATGATCAGTGACGATGAGCATTTTTTTCATATGATTGTTGGCCTCATATATGTCTTCTTTCGTAAAGTATCTGTTCATATCCTTTGCCCACTTTTGAATGGGCTTGTTTGTTTTTTTCCTGTAAATCTGTTTGAGTTCTTTGTAAATTCTGGATATCAGCCCTTTGTCAGATGGGTAAACTGCAAAAATTTTTTCCCATTCTGTTGGTTGCCGATCCACTCTAGTGACTGTTTCTTTTGCCGTGCAGAAGCTGTGGAGTTTGATTAGGTCCCATTTGTCTATTTTGGCTTTTGTTAAAAGTTATTTTTAAAATAAAAAAGGATAAAATTTTGATACAGGCAGTTCTACATGGAACACAACATACACAAAAGCAAAACTGTTTTTGATGCTTTACAATTTGTGTTAACTTGTCAGAAACCATGATTTAGTTCTTCCTTGTCTTATTCCTAGGAATGGCTCATACTTATGCAGCCTATGTGTAAATATCCCTGCAGTCCTTCCAATCATAAAACCAGGAATTAGCACTCAGAAAATATCTGTAAAGACCAGTCTATGAACCAGTGAGCATGGGTAGACACATTACACTTTGTCCAGTAAAATATGTAAGATTGCCAGTAATCAGATTTTTAAAACTGCTAATATTTTACAAAATGTATATATTATACAATTTTAAGATAACCACTCTCTTCCATTTTGGAATAATCCTTGCTTTCAAGTGTGCTGTGTGTGCATCCTTGTGTGTGCATTTTATACTTTCTTTCCTAGTCTTCACCATACCCAAGAGCTGCTCTATGAGAGCACCAAAGATTTTCTGCAACTCAGATCTGAAAACCGAAATAGAGAGAAGTCATGGATGCTTGAAAAAGATCATTTGATGTCAAAGATTAAGCAATATAGGGTGCAGTATAAGAAGAAAGAAGATAAAATTGGAAAAGTGTTGCCTATCAGGCATGAGAGTCATCATGCCCAAAGTGAATATATTAAGGTAATGTTCTTATGTCTTAAAGAAGTTATTTATTTTTCTGGGAGAGTTGAAGGAATTCCAAATAACCTACAATTTGTAATATAAGATCCATTCACTCCAGGAAGCTCTTGTAGCAGGCCGGGCGTGGTGGCTCACACCTATAATCCCAGCACTTTGGGAGGCCCAGGTGGGTGGATCACGAGGTCAAGAGATCGAGACCATCCTGGTCAACAAGGTGAAACCCCGTCTCTACTAAAATACAAAAATTAGCTGGGCATGGTGGTGCGTGCCTGTAGTCCCAGCTACTCAGGAGGCTGAGGCAGGAGAATTGCTTCAACCCAGGAGGCAGTGGTTGCAGTGAGCCGAGATTGTGCCATTGCACTCCAGTCTGGGTAACAACAGCGAAACTCCATCTCAAAAAAAAAAAAAAGAACTAGGTTTCAAAGAACAGCTGATCATTACAGTGTTTGAGGATTTAAAATATTAGACTTGTTTATTAATTCATTCAACAAATATTTATTGCACTCCTCTTATGGGTTAGGCTCCAGAGTTACAGTAATAAATAATCTAAACGAGGTCTGCCCTCATGGTGTTTATATTTTAATGGGTGAGAAAAAAAACAGAAACATTAACAAATAATTAACAAAATTATAGATTAGGCCGGGCGTCATGGCTCACACCTGTAATCCTAGAACTTTGGGAGGCTGAGGTGGGTGGGTCACCTGAGGTTAGGAGTTCGAGACCAGCCGGCCCGACGTGGTGTGAAACCCCATCTCTACTGAAAATACAAAAATTAGCTAGGTGTGGTGGCAGATACCTGTAATCCTAGCTACTTGGAAGGCTGAGGCAGGAGAATCACTTGAACCCAGGAGGCAGAGTTTGTAGTGAGCTAAGATCATGCCGTTGCATTCTGTCTTGGGCGACAGAGTGAGACTGTGTCTCAAAAAAAAAAAAAGACTTTGGGAGGCCGAGGTGGGTGGATCATGAGGTCAGGAGTTTGAGACCAAGAGTTCAAGACCAGCCTGGCCAACATAGTGAAAACACGTCTCTACTAAAAATATAAAAAATTAGTCAGGCATGGTAGTGGGCACCTGTAATCCCAACTACTTGGGAGGCTGAGGCAGGAGAATCTCTGAACCAGGGAGGCAGAGGTTGCAGTGAGCCAAGATCGCCCACCGCACTCCAGCCTGGGTGACAGAGCAAGCCTCTGTTTAAAAAAAAAAAAAAAAAAGTGGTATTCAGGGAATAAAAGAATTACATGAAGACTATATGAAGTTGCTGGAAGTCAATTGTATTAATAGAAGGAACACACAGGGACACTTACATCTAGTGTTTTTGTTCAGACCTGAAAAATGGGACTAAGCTTGCCATACAGACCTTGAGGAAGAGCATTCCTGGCAGAGGGAAAAGCAAATTTATAGGCTTGGAGTATGTTCAAGGAAATGGAAGGCTGGTGTCATAGCTGTAGAGGAATAAGGAGGAAGTTGTATGCTCTTTAAGAAGGCAGGGTCAGCAGCAGCCCATTGTGGAGGGCCTTGTGCAACATGGTACGAAGTGTGAATTTAGCTCTCAGAAGTGTATGTCCTTGAAGGATTGTGTGAAAGAAGTAACATGGGCCAGGTGTGGTGGCTCCCGCCTGTAATTCCAACACTTTGGGGGCCGAGGTGGGTGGATCACAAGGTCAGGAGTTCAAGACCAGCCTGGCCAACATAGCGAAATCCCGTCTCTACTAAAAATATAAAAATTAGCTGGGCATGGTGATGCACACCTGTAGTCCCAGCTACTCAGGAGACTGAGGCAGGAGAATCGCTTGAACCTGGGAGGCAGGGATTGTGGTGAGCCATGATAGCACCACTGCACTCTAGCCTTGGCAACAATAAGACTCCATCTCAAAAAAAAAAAGTAACATGATCTGATTTGGGTTTTTTAAAGATCATTTTAACTGTTCAATGGAGCATGTATAATAAGTGTTGTTCATATTTCTTCCTTTTTAAAGAAAACTTTAGAAATGTAGCCCAAAACATGTACTGTAATGTCTTACTTGGGACAGCTTCTGAGCTCCATTGTCTGACTCTTCCCAGAGCCAAGAATATTTGTTTGAATTTCTATTGCATACATTTTAGAATAAGGGCTTAAGAGACTAGTCTAGAAGTAGGAAATTTTCAGATGTTTCTCAACGCTCTTGTCGTCTGGTTCCTTAACTCATTTTGTACCTTTGGAAATCTCTTGTTTTCGCTCTTTCTTTATCTAAGGGCTATTTGAATTACCTAAACTGTAGAACTGATTATAATGGTTTTGTCCCTTTGACTTGCAGTCCCTAAAAGATAAGTTAGTACAAGAGAAAAAGCTGTCCAATATGTACCAGGAGCAGTGCATTTCCTTAGAAGAAGAACTTGCCTGAATTTGTGAGGAAGAGGGAATGAGGAGTGAGATCTTCAAGGTACAGAATTGTCTGCCAGTTATAATGGAGTAGGAAGTGGGAAAATGCTTCCGTCACCTTCATAAGTGCCTTCCCATTCCCCATATTTAGGATCGCGCTAACAAGATGGGGAAACGTTTACAGATAACGCACAAACGCTATGAAGCAGTGGAGCAGCGACGTATCTTGGAAGTAGAAGGCTTTAAGACAGATACTAAGGTTCTCCGATAGAAACTGAAAGACTGGAGCAAATGTTGTATAAGGTAATTGTGGATGCTGAATTGCCGCAAGGGAGAAAAGAGGTGGAAGTGAGGGAAACACTGGGTCACGAGGGTTCCTTCAAAGAAGGATGCGCTGTTTCCCTGCTAGTAGACACTAACAGATCACCATCTTTAAGCCTCCCTGAAAATTGGTTCAACAAGTACATGCTAGAGAGAAAATACAAATATCCTGAAATCATTAAATGACTGCATCGTGAATACTTCCAAGTAAGCTAAACTTAACAGAAATTGTCATCCCTCCTAATTCAAGAAGTAGATTAAAGAATTATGTCTGTTTTACAGTTGGGGAAAGTGAGTAATTGAGCGATAGAGTAATTTTTTCCAGCAGACACAGCTTTTTAGAATACAAGTTGCCTCAATGGCATTCTTAATGAGATTTAGCCAGTTAGCCTATGATCCAAGCAAGGTTAGTTACAGAAAAAGGAGATGCCTGCTTGATTCTTCGACAAATTTACCAGTGGTATTGCTTATTCTGGTCTCTTACTCCTCCGCCATTTTTCATTGATCTCTATTTCAAGGCTCCTTTATTGAATGGGAAGGGTTTCATGAGATTTCTGCCTTAATTCTCATTTTCCCTCTTTAGTTAGCCACTGAACAAACTAAGGTATGGAATTTATCTTATGTACTCAAATCTCATAAACAGGAGCCAGCATAGCTGTCTTTTGACTGATATCTCTGCCCGATTTCTTCTTCTTTTTTTTTTTTTTCCAAATCCCTAGGTAACAGTTAATGCCCTGGCAAATCAGGATCTCACCATTCTGTGTGAAGTCCATGACAGCAATAGACAGGCACATAAGATACAAGGAGAATTGAAGAATCTTAAGTCCAAAGTGTTTGGTCTGGAAAATGAACTTAGAGTCTGTTGATGTCTACTTTTGGAAATGGCCCCCATTTGGAAGAGGTGTGCTTCTTGAAACCTCAGGACAAGGTCATCTGCTGCCAGACAATGTAGACCTGAGTTGACTAGAGTGGTGGCATTATTCTTCATTATTATGAAGACAGGGTGAAGAATCAAGGACCACTAGGAAAGCTTTTCTTCATACTCAGCTTGCTTTATCATTTTTGCTGTCATTTTACATTTGTGCGGAGTGGGGGCCTCATCCCAAACAACTGAGAAGCTTTCATTATTTATCCCGTCTGTATTGACAGGTTTTTGGGTTTTTTTTAGAAGGCAGTGATGATGAAAGCTTAGGAAGAAGGTATTTTGCAATGAGCTTGACTGAGTTGTCTGTGGGAAGAACACTTTCCCTAAAGAGAGAGAAGCACTCATGGAGGCTGCCTTTCTCCTGAGCTCAGGAAGAAGTCAGCACATCGCAACTTGTCACATTGGAGTAGGCGCTCATTCTATTTCACCTTCCGTCACGCACAGAACCTCAATCACATTTGGGCAATTTCATGGTGTTTCACCAGAGGGCACTAGAGACTCTACTCAAACAAAATGTCCATCTGGATAAACAAAGGAGACACTTTGTCAAGGTGAATGAAACTGAAATAATCCTTATATGGAAAGTTTGATACTTTATCAGTAACATGGCTTTTAAAAATGGTGTCTCTATTTTAAATAAAATATTTCATTTAAAAGATTCTATTTGAATTTTCTGTAACTTCTTCTCAATGCTATGTTTATGCTTGTTAATGACTCCCGCAGCTCAGCCTACTCTCTTGTTCTATGGCCTCTGCTGTACAAGTTTGGTTTTTGTTTTTGTTTGTTTGTTTTGAGATAGAGTTTCGCTCTTCTTGCCCAGGCTGGAGTGTAGTGGTGTAATCTTGGCTCACTACAAACTCTGCCTCCCAGGTCAGTGATTCTCCTGCCTCAGTCTCCCAAGTACCTGGAATTATAGGCACTCACCACTACGCCCCTAATTTGTGGTGTGGTGTGTGTGTGTGTGTGTGTGTGTGTGTATTGTTGTTGTTTTTTGTTTTAAGTAAAGACAGGATTTCACCATTTTGGCCAGGCTGGTCTTTTACACCTGACCTCAGGTGATCCACATGCCTTGGCCTCCTCTCTAATTCCAAAAATTAGAGAATTTGGGAGTAAGAAAGAACTTTAAATACTTTTCTTCTTTTTTTTGTTTTATGTTTTATTTTATTTTTTATAGAGATGGGGTTTCACCATATTGGCCAGGCTGGGCTTGAACTCCTGACCTTGTGATCCACCCACCTCAGCCTCCCAAAGTGCTGAGATTACAGGCATAAGCCACCGTGCCTGGCCGAACCTTAAATATTATGTACTCCAACTTACTTTAAAATGACCGAGACATACTACCAGTGACCTCAGCAATCCATTGATGTTTCTGACATCCTGGTCTCAATTCTAATGACATTCATCTTTATATTAACCACCCACTGGTGTGGCCACTCTTTAAATCTTACGACCAGTTAAAACTATCACCAAGAAGCAGCATAAAATAGAGGAAAGGGCACAGGCTTTGGAGAACCACAGGTCTAGATTGAGTCACACCTCGTAGTAAAATTCTCCAGGCTCTAGTCTCTGTCTGTAAAAGAAACAAAAAGCTACCTGTTTCAGCAGGGAGATTGTGAGGATTAAGAAAGAAAACCTAGTACCCAGAGTATATAAAGAGCTCTTACAACTCAATTTAAAACATACACCCAATTTTAAAATGGGCCAGGGATCTGCATAGGCATTTCTTGAAAAAAGATACACAGATGACCAGTTAGTACATGGAAAGATGCTCAACATTAAGGAAATGGAAACTAATGCTCGCTAGGATGGCTCTAACCAAAAAGTCCGTACCAAGGGTGGATAAGGATGTGGAGAAACTAGAGGCCTCATAGATTGCTGGTGAGAAGGTAAAATGGTGCTTCCCCTTCGAAAAACAGTCTGGCAGTTGCTCAAAAAGTTAAGCATAGAGTTACCATAAGACCCAGCAATTCTACTCCTTAAGTATATACCCAAGATAAATAAAAACAACACCCACAAAAATCTTGTGCATAGATGTTCATAGCAGTATTAATAATAGGCCAAAAGCGGAAACCATCCAAATCTCTATAAGCTGGTGAATGGATAAACAGAATGCGGTATATGCATATAACGGAATATTATCAGCCATGGGAAGGAATGATGTAGTGATACATGCTATTACATGGGGGAACCTTGCAACATTCTGCTAAGAAGGCAGAAATTGAAGGCCACATATATTGTGATTCCCATACACATGAAACATCCAGAATAGGCAAATCCATGTGGAAAGTAGATTAGTGGTTGCCAAGGGCTGAGAAGGGGGCAATAAGAAGTGACTGCTAATGGGTTTGTGGTTTCTTTTTAAAGTGTTGAAAATATTCTAGAATTAGTGTGATTGCTGTCAAACTGTGAAGATACTTTAAAAACCACTGAATTGAATGCTTTAAAAGGGTGAATTTTGTGGTATGTGGGTTATATATCAATTTTTTTTTTAGATGTGATCTCGCTGTCATCCAGGGGAGTCCAGTGGCTCAACCTTGGCTCACTGCAGCCTCAACCTCAGCTCCCTTAGTAGCTGGGACTACAGGCACATGCCACCATGCTCAGCTAACTTTGTATTTTTTTGTTAAGGGGATTTGCTATGTTGCCCAACCTGGTCTTGAACTCCTGGACTCAAGCAATCCTGCCCTGGCCTCCCAAAGTGCTGAGATTATAGGCATGAGCCCCCACACCCAGCCTATGTCAATTTAAAAACAAAGCAAACAAAACAACCTCCATGAAATGGCTTAGTCTGGTGCCTATATATAGTCGGCATTCAGTTACAATTAGTTGTTACCTATATTTTGGCTTCAATTGACTTATCAATTGCTCACTACTGCTAATTGGATCTCGTGATGTATTAATGCAATTCATTTCTTCATTCAGTAATTTATTTCTTAAGTGCTATTTATTTTGTTTTGTTTTTCAAGAAACAGGTCTTGCTCTGTTGCCCAGGCTGGAGGGCAGTGGTACAATCAAAACCCACTGCCATTTTGAACTCCTGGGCTCAAGCAATTCCCACTTCAGCTTCCCAAGTAGCTGGGACTACAGGTGCATGCCACTACATCCAGCTACTTAAAAAAAATTGTACAGGTAGAGTCTCACTATGTTCTCAGGCTGGTCTCGAGCTCCTACCTCAAGCAGTCCTCCTGCCTCATCCTCCCAAAATGCTGGGATTACAAGCATCCCACTGCACCTGGCCCCTTAAGTGCTTTTTATGTTCTAGAAATTATGCTAGATCTTAAATTTACAGAGAACACTATCACACTTGTCCTCCAAAGGTTGGTGGGGAAGATAAACATAGAAAAAACTCAGTAATGAAGTGCAGTGCTATCGGTGCTCTATAGAAAGCAACAGAGAAGGCGACTCACAGGAGTTGCATGTGAACTGAACTTCAAAAGTGAATTTGGAGACAGACAAGAAGCTGGACTTGTAGGCAGAGGGACAACATATATGAAGGCATTGAAGAACAGAATGTTTGGGGAAATACAAGTGCAGGAGACAGAGCTATGTAATATAAGGCATAAGAAATGGCATGAAATTTTATTTGATACAATTATGCAGACCTGTTAAATATTCAAAGATGCTTTGAATCAATTGAAAATGTTCGGGTTTACTTAAAACTAGAGAAAAACAACTTAATCAAATATTTTGTGATATAAAGTCATGCATGAAAAATAATTTGAAATACAAACTCATTTCTTAAAAATTAGGGGCAAGGGGGTCAGGGTGTGGTGGCTTACGTCAGTAATTTAGTAATCTCAACACTTTGGGAGGCCGAGGCTTGCTAGAGCCCAGGAGGTCCATGCCTGTCTGGGCGACATGGCAAAAACCCATCTACAAAAACTACAAAAGTTAGCTGGGTGTGGTGGTGTACGTCTGTAATCCCAGCTACGTGGGAGGCTGAGGCTGGAGGATCACTTGAACCGGGGGGTTGAGGCTGTAGTGAGCCATGTTTGCACCTCTGCTATAAAATAAGACTCTGTCTCAAAGCAGGCGGGGGTAAAAGTATCATGAAATAATAAATATATGAAATGTTTATTTCCTGGTAAATGTTTGTATTTCAGATCAAGCTAAGGCACAATCACTTAATTCTAGGATTTATTGCATTATCTGCAGGAACAATCAAAGGATAGTGCAAAAGATCCTTGAAAAGTCCCATCATTATCATTTGCTCTGCATTTTAAACTTTGTCTTTTAACTGTATATATGAGTAACCTGGTAATAAGTCACCTTTTTATCCATATAACCTTTTTTTTAAATTTATTTTTAAAGACGGGGTTTCACCATGTTGGTCAGGCTGGTCTTGAACTCCCAACCTCAGGTGATCCACCCGCCTTGGCCTCCAAAGTGCTTGGATTACAGGCGTGAGCCACCATGCCCAGCTTATCCATATAAATTATGTGATTTTCACACATAAAATAGTCTCTGGCTATGTTATTTTTGGTCCAGTCTTATGATCTCACTGCCTCTCCACCCACACCACGTTAGCTGGGCTACTAAGACTGTAATATTTGCAACATAGCAGATTGCACTATCATCACTCACTGTATCTAGGAACAGAAAGGAAAAAGATGGCGCTGTCCTCATCCAGAAGAGAAATTCAGGGTCTAAGCTAAAGGGAGACATTGAGAAGAAAGAGAAAGGAACAGATTTGCAGATCATTTAGGAGTAGAATGGTCATCCTATCTTTGTGATGGATGAGATGTGAGTTAGGGAAGAGTTAAGGAGGTGGGAAGATCGCTTGAGCCCAGGAGTTTGAGTTTGAAACCAACCTGGGTAACAGAGTGAGACCTTGTCTCAACAACAACAAAATTAGACAGGCACAGTGTCTCGCGCCTGTAGTCCTAGCTACTCAGGAGGCCAAGGAGGGAAGACTGCTTGAGTCCAGGACTTTGAGGTTGCAGTGAGTTATGATCGTGCCACTGTTCATCAGCCTGGGCAACAAGAGTGAGACTGTATCTCAAAGGGAAAAAGGATAATTTTCTAACGTCAAAGTTTCTGGCTTGAAGTGCCATGTGTCCAGTGACACCATTAAGTGAGCTTCGATGTTTAGGAGAAGCAGCCTGTTTCTAGTAAATTTGGGAATCGGATCTGGAAGATAAGTTAGTTAAAGATTTGGAATTCTAACATATAGAAGGTAATCGGATGTGGATGAGATCCAAGATGAAAAGCATACAGAATAAGAAGACAAGAGAGTCAAAGAGGAGAACCCTTAATAGTAAGAGGAGTGGTAGCCAGTGAGAAAGGGCTGGTCTGAATAACAGGAACATAGTGTTCTGGAAACTCGGGGACTGAGAACTTCAAGTCAATGGTTGGGAGCATTGTCAATGCTCTAGAAGAATCATGTAAATTAGAATTGAGGTTTGGGATTTAGCAGCAGGTGAATTTAGAGCAATTTTATTGAAGTAGAGATGAAAGTTGGCTTACATTAGGTTGAGGGATGAGGCCAGAAGGAAAATGGGAAATAGCTTCAGAGTTGATAAAGCCAAAAAGAGGAGTTTTGATAATTTTAGGCTGGGAAGAGATTAATTGTATTTGCAGGCTAAAAGGGAAAAGCCAAA